ATGGGGAAATGATAATCTGCGAAACGCGTCAGTCAGAGAAATCAAGTATGGAGGCTTGACAAACCATATGTAATTTCATCGCCCAGTTCAATATCCTGCTTAGCATAGATGACGATCTTCTTCTCGCCGTTGATAGTGATGATTTTTGCAGTACAGTTCGGATCGCATGAATGATTAATGAGACGTCTTAACGAAAACATCCAATCAGCAGCTGCATCGCGTAAGGATCCGAGCCAGAACTTACCCAAGATTCCCCTTCTTCGTAGCGTCCACCACAAGGTCCTCATCAATCCGAAACAAATAACTGCTTCCGATCCCCTGCCGCTCATACACCTTTTCCCGTTTATCGGCGACTTGAGCCCGAATAATCTCACCAACATATTCAATGACCATCTCCCCTCGCGCGATCCTCTCCATAGCGTACAACCCCCAGTCATGAATCGGAGACCTCGCGAACCGGAGATGCTTTTTCCGCGTTTGGAGCTGGTTGAATTTGATGCTGAGTTCTGCAGCAGCTGTCTCGCCTTTTGAAAGAGCTACAGCTCGCTGTACTTGGTTGATCTCTTCCAGACCTTGAGCGCGGCGGCGAGCATTGGCACGATTCGAGCGGGAAGAGGTGACAGGTTGGGCGGGTGCTTCAGTTGGAGCGACTGATTCGACGTTCGTGGATCGTAAGGCGTATTGAGCGACATAGGCTGATTTCTCGGTATGAGAAATCTTGTAGTAGCCTTCGGTACGTGCTGAGCCTGTGAGATGCTTCCGAAATGCTAGTACAGTTTCGGTAGGAGGCAGCAAGACGTGCGACACGCTTGGAGTGTCATCCGACATAGCCAGCCGAGCGAAATAGAGGTCCTCGTCGTCATTGCATATGCCTTGCTCGAGTGGATCAGGAGGAAGACTCGGAGGCCGTGGTGGTTCTGGCACGGGAGAAGGCGAGCGCGAGACCGACTCCACATTTGAGATGTGGATGTTGGCAGTAGCAGGAACATTGAAATCCAACTCGTCGGGCCGGATGACTTCGTCGACCACCACCTTGGCTGCTGACTTTTTCTTAATGACCTTCTTCTTCGACAAGGCTTTCTTATGTGGTTCATCATCATCGACCACAACGTCCTTCTTCGGCTTCTTCTTGACAGGCTCCTGCTCCTCATCACGAACCTCGGAAACTGCCCGCTTCCGGGGTTCGGGTACAAGGTTCTCCTCATCCTCGGACTCCAAGTCTAATTCAGACACCCTCGTAATCTTCGGGACGAGATCTTTCTTCCGCTTTTTCTTTGGTGGTTCAACGGGTACAGGCTCTTCCGGCTCAACGAGAGGAGCTTCTTCTTCAACCACGGCTGTCTTCGCCTCTTCCTCCCTTATTCTCTTCGGTTTCCGAAAGGAAAGTCCCTTCAGACCTCGCTTCTCAGCCGGCCGTTGCTCATTGACCATCTCTGGACCCTCCCTAGCTTTCGACTCTGCAACTTTCGCCTTCTCGTCTGCAACCAGCTTCCGGAGATCAGCAGCAGCCACCCGCTCAGTAATATCCTTCTCTAAAAGAACCTTGAGCTCTTTGATGATCGTATCTGCTGCTTTTTGAACTATCTCATCCTTTGTCCAGCTGGTCTTTTCAGCGGCCACAGGAGCGGCGTGAGAAGGAGGAGGACAAGCTGAGAGGGTTACCGAGTGGTGGCCAAGTGTTCGTGAGCTGAGCACCATGGCTGCGCGTCGTGCAGAGTCGCTTGTTTGAAAGGCAACATACCAAGCGTTGTGATCTCGTAGGACGCAGTCGACCTTGAAGTCTTTGAAGAACGCGCGCACATCTTCTTCACGGATAGATATCATCGCGCCACCGGTGAGGTCTATTCGAACATGCTCGAAGCCGTTCTTGGCGAGGGCATCGATGACAGTGGCACTGGTAGCCTCTCTCTGCTGTTGATGGCGCCCTTGTCCTGGGCGCCGGGAAATAGGGGAAGGTGAGCGGGATGGAGGTGCCGGAGCGTGAGTAGAACTATGATGTGAAGGACGACCGCGGGTATGGATGGGTGTTGATGATGAGGAGTGTGAGGACGACATAGGCGCCAGGTCATTCACTACTGGGAAACGAGTGCTCAGTGCTGAGTTCATCATTTTAGCTTTCATGACAGGCGCTGCTCTTCTGCTGCGGGGAGGTGATAGACGTCCGTTGGTGTAGGGGATGTGTGCAGGGCGCGCAGGGAGCTGATGACTGGGCCGCCATGCGGGCTGAACGGGTGTATGCGTCGAGCTTGGGGTCTGAGCTTTCGGTATGGATATTGGTGCGGGTATGGGTGCAGGTGGTAACGTCGGAACCTTGGCTTCCTTCTCCTTCCTTCTTTTCTCTTCTCTACCACGATGTTTCTGTTGTTCTAGCTCTTTCCGCACTGCCTTTAATTTGAGACCTTCGCCGTCAAAGACCACCTTGAGTTCCTCCCCGTCAGCCATTCCCATGCCCGTGCCAAATTTCTTTCCATGAGTACGCTCTACACATGACTTGGCTTCTTCATGTGTCTGGTACCGAATGAACACGATACCAAGCGCTACCCCAGACTCCATGTCGATTTGCGGATCAAAGGAGGAGATCTTCCCATGTGCACTGAAGATACGACGTATCTGCTGCGTAGGCGTTAGGGGTGACAAATTCATGATCAACACAGCTGTGGGGGGTGGTGGGCCTGTTGAGTTTGGATCATACTGGCAAGACGCGTCAATGTGGTTAATTAGAAGATATAGGTGATTATACCCACTTCATACCGAATTTCATGGAACGCGTCTCGGTGGGGACGTTTCTTGAAACCTGGTGCTTTGCGGGGATCGATTATGGTAGATTCTGGCTCGCCTTCGATCACTTGTCCGTTATACCTCGTGAGCGTCTCCTTGCCCTTTCCTTTGCCCTTGATCCGGGGTTCACTTGTACCATCGACCTGGGCAGCTCGAACTTTCTCGATTAGAGCGCGAAAACGTCCGTCGCGGTCCTTGTCGATGGCAGGGTCATAGATGACTTTGAAGTTGTTGCCAGCAGGGTACTCGGAACGGGAGGGTGGCCATGGCGGAGGAGGAGGTAAGGAGTAGAATTTAGGTGGTTGTGGTTTCGAAGATGATGCGACTGGTTCTGAAGGAGGAGGTGAGGGCGGGGGCGAGGGCGCGTGATCTGATAAATCCTGTGACGGTGGTGACGGTGCAGGTGGTGGTGATAGTGGTGGTGGCGGCGGCGGCGAAGGTGAACGAGGTGGTGGTGGTGTTGGTGGTGGTACTTCTGAAGGTGGTGGTGGTGGCGGCGGTTCTTCTGAAGGTTGTGGTGGTCTCGGACGTGATTCGGTTAGGGAAGTTCTGCGATTAATTGTAAAGGAGATCTTCACAGGTTGATGAGGCCTAACACCATCAGCAACAGTCGCTGAAGTATTATTACTTGAACTCGCTACAGGTGAAGTTTCGTCAATTGGTGATGCAGATGACTATAGAAATTTATCATTATGATGATTCTCATCATTTAAGAAATAAAACTCACAGTTGATGTTGACAATGAAGAATCAGCCTGCTTGCCCTTCTGCGTAGATCTGGGTCCTGTCGGTACGTTTATTATAGGTGGTCCAACATGGCCATTAACGAAAGGCTTTCCGGTCGGTTTACCTCGGGGTTGAGTTGGAACACCATTCAGGAGTCTTGGTCCTGTTGGTGGTGGTGCACCAATTTTACTAGTACCAGCACCAGGTGAAGAACCCGATGTTGAAGTTGACGACGTCGGAGGTTGTTGTGACGATGAGCCAGGCAACGAACTCAGAAGCGCTCTTGGTCCCTTTGGAGGCGCTTTACCAGACATCAAAGCAGTCTAACTAACATGAGCAACGCTCAAAATAAAAAAATCTTGTTCGGTTTCACTGTCGTCGAAGAACGTGCAAAGATAAAGGGAAACCGGAGGATACGGTCGATGAGGATCGTGGACAATGACTAGTGAGCGTGTGCGAGCACAAACAATTGGGTCATCACCGCGGCAAACAACGACCAAGCCAAACAGTTAGAGCTTGGCTTGGACCTTTTCCTCTTCATTCAAAAATCATCAAAACTCACAGATAACGGTAACCTGGCTATCCAAAACTCTACCGACTCACGCTCCAGCTCTTGATGCGAACAAGAGTAGTGCCTCTACCACAAATGCCACGTAGGAAGTTTCGTTTGCGTTTGGTTCCTGTAGAGAATTTTTACTACATGTGGCACTATCCTAGGCTACCGTGCTCCACCTTCCTTCCGAAAGCCTTGCTGCAAAGGCATGTAATCGCGAACGCACCTCGGTTTTCCACTCTACTTCAGGTTGGCGCTGATATCTTGGCTTTAGTGTGTACTTTTTTTTCTTGTCTTACAGACAACGTCACACATTCAAATCTATCGCCATACCTCTATCGTTTGATTGACGCAGGGTGCCTTGCTCATAACTGAGCTGCAATATTCGCTACTATCTCAATAGAAAACTGATTTGATGGACGCCAAGCACCCCAATTTCAATACTCGTCGCTATGATGACCATGGTACTACAGCTGGACAAGCATTCCATAACGCACACGCACGATCATGACGCAAGGATGTAGGTCGCCTTCTCACACTTCTGTCCCTAGCATAACGGCTATGTATAACCATCTTCTTTTCTTCACTTCTTCATGATCGAATTGGCAATTGACGCGTGATGCCAACTACCAGGCTCCATGATCTGAGGCTTGAGCTGACAACAATCGCTAAACCATCTCCTAGATCTTGAATATTACATATACTCTATTCAAAGCGATTGGCCAAAATTCGACTATATTTGTATGTTGCTGTACAATGTACATTGTGCGTGCCTCTAATAAATAATACTATCAGCTTACGCTCTTGAAAAATTATTACACATCACGAAAGCGATAAAAAAAAGGCGCTCAACGCTACGATAAGTATCATAATAAGTATTCCAACCACCAGCGAGCGAAGCCGGTCCGGAGAGATGAAATGAAACGAATAACTCGAGCCTTTGTTCAAAGCATCCTCAAACGCTTCAAAATATCCTCATAGTTCCGTTGCGTGATCCGCCGGCCCTTCCTCTCCAGCATACAAGCCGTACTATACTGCCTTGAAATGTGAGGCAGTATCTCAGCGTCTTCGAGGAAAATAGATGAGGGTCGGTGAAGATTCTCACTCGAGCTCGTTCCAAAAGCACTGGTGCTAGAGGTGTCCAGATTACATGACAATGGAGACTCTTTGCTCTCCTGCATGCTGGGAGCGAAACAAGTAGCATTCTGCACACGAGCCTTCTTGGGCTCTACAGACAGAAACACAGGAAGCCCGCCAAAGACGAGCTCATGAGGCGGAGTTTCACCAAACTTGCGGCACAACCTTGAGAAACGTTTCCGCTTCGCTGTTGAAGGAGACAATGGCGGGGGTGTCAATGGTGACAAGGGCGGATGCGCAGAGGGTACGGTCAAAAGGTTTGTATCAGATATCAGCGTGGCTGTAGGAGACGAAGCTGCCGTGGAAGTGGGAGAGGAACTCGGAACGTTGAAGGTGATGGAAGACCGGTATGCGTGAGTGGGTACCGGAAGAGGTACAGTCGGTAGAGTGGGCAGACTACGTTGGGACTTGATATGTCGGCTTCCCAGCTCCGTAACAGTGAGATCCATGAATGACTCCAGGCGTTGCAGCGCGGGATGCTGTACATCCAATTTCAGAGCAGGAGGCGGATATTTTCTCTTGTGTCGAGGGACTTTTTTTGAAGATGTGGAAGAAAAAAAGGCGGAACAGGATGTGAGACTCTGGCTGTGACTCTTTTCATGGTCCCGGGGAGGATCCAACCTCTCGAGAGCAAGCCGTATATGCTGAGCTCGTTCGAGATCTGGAACGCGTGCAAAAGGTATGTCTTCCTGTACGTCATACCCAGCCTACTTTGATGAGTCTCGGATGCGATAGTAGAAGTAACAGTATAGGACTCACAGAAGAATTTCGAACACCAGACATTATAAATGCGCGACCGAAATCTGAATGCTATTGAAATAAAACTGAACAAGACCCAACGGCTCCGATGCACCCAGCGCAACACCGTATAAAAAAGGGTAAAAGAACGAACGAGAGTATTCTAGACTCTAGAGAAAACAAAGGAAAGGAAAGGAAAGAATGCGACCTGTCTTACGCACCGCCGCCATTTATATCGTTGGTCAACGACCAACGTAAGTACCCGGGTTCGTAAATTTTTTGAACTCATCGTCAACGTTAGCAGCGACATCGACAGTCTGAAAAAGGAAAGTCATTACGATCGACTGTCATGCATGTCATGGGTAACCGCACTGCCTCGAGCTTCTGCTGTAACCGATATGTAAGTTCAATAAGCAAGTGTACGTGAAAAATAGATTTGGAGATCGGACATCGGGAATACTCCGCTGGTGTTCGTCTTTGGCAGCCTGACTCGGACAAGATGAACGACTATTGCTAGCTGTAATTTGAATTTCCGTGCTAGTGACTGCATCCCTGGCAGGGACACATGATGGACGGTCCTTGGATAGAACCTTGTCTCAGGCTAAATCATTAGCAAGTTCTTTGGTTGCCATACGTTCTCATGGCGAGACCTGCACCACGCTAGATCATGACAATCAATTGAGATGTGACACGACTTCCTGTGAGCTTAGCAGCCTGCAGGCTTTCAAAATCAAAAACACCTACTAGTTGTTTCACCATTCCTGACTGTGTCATTGTGTCTAAATAAGGTGGGCTGCGGCGTCGGCGGTTGCACCAATTTTCCCATGTTTCCACGCTTATCCGAATACCGGTCACGGTCGTTCTTGATCAGGCCGCCTCGAAGTTCGAACGACTCCTCAAATGACCGTCAGTATGACTTCGACATACCCTTTTGAACCAACTCCTTCATGGACAACTGTAAACCCTAAGCCGTTCTTGCCTTTTCGCACACGTTGTGATAGTGAAGAGCCACCTACATTACCGTCGCCTCGAAACGAGCTGTTCAACTGACACTTATGTTGTCAGTACCCACCTCGTACCTGCTGGTTGTCCAAGACTTACTCCGGACATCCCATTGCCTGTGATCCCTAAATTCTCGACGAATGTCGCAGAACGGAAACGAGATATCCAGCAGCTACTCACTGAAATTACTGAGCGACAAGCACGCTTTGTGAAGGGAAAGTTAGGTGGAGAAAGAAGCGAGAAGCCGTTATGGAACTGCGTTAACCGATATGTCAAGAGAGTTCAAGATGGGAGGAGGGGTTTGACACTGTTCTTCGCTCACGCAAATGGTTTTCCCAAGGAGGTATTCATTCATTCGACCCGATCCTCGTGTCTCAAGAACAGCCATTGAATGTATTATAGATATGGGAAACAACTCTGCGATACTTACTATCGTCACCCACAGCCTCTCTGATCGACGAGGTGTGGTCTTGGGAAGCTGTTCAGCACGGCGATACTGCACTAATCAACGAGTCAAATCTCAGTGGCATATGTGAGACATCCCACGCAATTCATCCAAAGGCTGAGGTTGACCTTCGTTTCTAGTTGATTGGCGAGACAACGCTCGGGATATTGCACACTTTTTGTTATACTATCTACCGGAAGATGCATCTTCGAAGGTTTTACCGACGCATCTACACCTTCTACCGGAGACTCTCAGTGAATCCAGGAAGACTAAGGGATTTTCATCCCGCTCCCTGGTGGCTGTTGGACATTCATTTGGTGGATGTTCTTCGTATGTTGTTATCGCTAGCGTTATTCTTTGATCCAACATTGACAATATAAATGCAGGATACTGGCGGCTGTCAATTTCCCTTCATTATTCTCCTCCATCATTCTTGTAGACCCTATAGCTATTGACGATTGTGATTATTCGCCCCATTTGCTTGGGCTCATGTTGGGTGCTCTTAGCAGACGCGAACATTGGCCATCACGGTGAGTCGTGATTTCGTGTCCAGTGACTTCTAAGTATTAAGTAATGTCACAAGTGAGGAGGCATTACGCTTGTTCAAGACTTCTGTGTTCTTCGGGGCTTGGCATCCTGATACCCTGCAGCTATATGTTACCTATGGCTTGTGCGAGGATCCACAAGGGGGTGTCAAGCTAAAGATGTCAGCTCTACATGAGACCTTGGTGTTTGCAGATCGTATAGGAGCACGTGAAGCATGGGAACTGCTGGAAAAGGTGGACGAGCGAATAGAACTACGTTGGATTATTCCAGGGAAGCCCAAAGACAAGGGTGCGTTACCCTTAGCCACAAACTCTGTTCCACTAACGCTTTTTTCAGATTCATGGGCGAACAAGCAACGAGGCAGCGAGTGTGGCGAAGACCTGCTAACTCATCTAACGTGGCAATTCACTCAGCTGGGCATCTGGTGAGCTGATGTTTTGTGTCCGTGTACAAGTATGATTGAAGCGGCTGTCACTCAGATTGCACAGGAATCGCCTGAGGAGCTTGGTAAATAAAATCTTTTTTTCTACAATGTTCACGTCATAAATTTTTCTAGCACAAGAGATATCAGCTTTCCTGGAGAAGAAGTATGGACCACGGAGTAGAGCATACCTATGATATCCTGTGCGATATTTGACTTCGCCCAGACCTATGACCAGAGCAGAAAACAAGAAATACCTGAAACAAACAAACATACACAGTTGCCATTCTCTGTCGCGTTTGAATCTCGCTTATGAACATACGACAGTCTTCTGGAATGACAAGGGCGGGTCATCTGTGCCACGGGCCACGGCGCTGTTTTGGTTTCAACTCACGTGAGTTGATTTGCGTGGGTATCGCTTGATTGCCACCTCCTTGTTCCAGCAGCCGGACACGAATGGCGCAGCTATGCACTGCATCCTATTTCGGCGCGCATGTACTCACCTGCACTCACGTGAGGTCGCGCAGATTTAGTTCGATAGTCCAATGACAGCCTCAATCGGACCACGCTGACCATCACATTTTACAATATCAACTTGTCGCATTATATTTAGAGTGCATTTACAAGTGCGTTATCAAATTCTTCGAGGGGGGTTCTCCTTGTCTGCGCTGGTCTAGCAAAGCCAGACCTTCCGATATACAAAGCGAATCGGAAATGTTGACAGTTCTCTCAGATCTCGCGGTTCATCAAAAACTTCATTCCATCTTTGGAATAGCAATCGAACCGCGTCAGAATCCAATATGATGCTAACTAATATTTTCACCCATTGTACTATACGATCATACAAGGTCAGCCGCCCTTATCTGTGATAGTTGGGTGTGAGCCAGTTCGGGGTTATAGTAATGGGGTGTTTGATACTCCTGCTTCTTCTCCCAAATGACAGTTACTACGACTTTTGACATATCATTTTGAGCTGGTGACTCCCCAGTGGATGACAGTCAACCCATGCATGCAATTCCTGCCATTTGCATTTGTGGTCTAGGATGCACAAGTTGATAGCAGCCTGAGAAAATAGTCATTTGCCAATGCAAAAGACTGAACCGTTTGCATTTACAATTCATTGAACACAAAACATGCCAAGAATAAGGCTGGTGCTGGTACTGTTGTATTGAAATTTCTCTTGTGAACCTTGATTAGTGTTAGGATGACAAGAGCAACTCTTTGCAGCCCTCAGTGGGCGTTTGCGTTATCATAGCCTTCGGCGGCATGCCGACTGTTGCTCATTTACTGATTGCTCGGTTATCATGTGTCACTTGCTCATTCCGACACAAACTAATAGTTATGTATTTCAAGCCATGCATGGCACGATGCAGCATGTATGAAATTCAAGGTAGGCCCTACGACAGCCTCGACCGTACCATACTGATTTCACATTTTGCATCAGAATCAGCCAGTGCCCATACATTTATGGGTGAGCGGGCCGGTGAGCTTTGAGCAGGTTGAATTTCATCTTCAACCGATGGGTTCTGCTGGAATACAAGTTGATCAGCATGTAACCGTGTAGCCGCATCTCGCCTGCCCTCCCTGCTGACACACCTCGATCGCACCCCATTCGGTACTGCATTGCAAATAGTTCCATGCATATGCCACGCTAACTCGAGGAAACCGTGAATAAGTCGTGCAAGAATTAGAGTAAGTGACAGACAACTCGCCTCATGTCAAATTGAGTATCGAATTGACATTGCTGCGGTCAGGGATCAATGATAGACCATGTGAATGTCCCTGATAACTTGCTGTGCGGCGTTCTGCATCGCGTAGAATCTAGACGAGAAAGCCCAAAATAGCGGGGAATAATTGATTCAACCCCGCACTCCCCATTGCAGCTTGCTCCATCAAAAGCTCCAAATTGTTGCGAAACAATTGTGACCATGAAGAGATTTCGGATCTCAAAGCCTAGTACATGCCCGTCGGGTCGCACTTCAGTAAAGCGAGTATGCAGGCTGTAAAGAGCATGTTGATAATGTTAATGAACCGTGACTTTCCCTGGGACTGTGCACTTACTGCATGGCCGAGACGAGGAACAGTCGATCCTAATTATGTCACGAACGTACGTTATCAGGTCACTAGTATGAGACAATCCAACGGTAGTTCCGGTGGGAGAGACATTCCTGTCCACTACCCTTGAGACGGGTTCTTTTTTTAGGGTATGAGTTGAGCATAATCATCAATTAGGCAGTGTGAGATCATTGGAGACCACTGGTGGGACCTTGCACGGGCGCTTGTCTGCTAGGTACAGCCTCGGCATGAGTATAGTAGTGCAAGTTTTAGTTGTCTTACTACCACTTCATTTATCATTAAATCTCCTTCGCTCTAACCGCACTGCATGCTACTCATAATTTAACAATTTCTTCACGACACCACGATGAATAACCTCCCTGAGCGCGGTATGTTCTCATCTGCTCCGAGTCGAACGCCGTTTTGTCTCCGCACGCTCCTCTGGCTCACTCTCTCAGCCGTGCGATACCCCAAATTTGTATCTGCAAGACCAACAAGCGAGGTGCTGCGACGCGCATCAGGTGACAATGGAAGCGACGGGAACAGCATTTCTGCAAGCGTATGGGTGCGTACTATTCTCCGTCGAGCCCCAGCGCCAAAGGCATGCTTAAACCAAAGAACCAAATATCTAGATACCCGTATTGATACTTGCAGTCGTCGTTGCCGTGCTGACACTGGTTGGATGTGTCAGGCGGGCCACCAACAGGGAAGTCGGCGCAGTCGCGGTGGCGAGCACACCTGCTGGTCAGGCTGCCTCAACTCGCCCTGGAAGACGCCGGAGGCCCGCACGGACTCCAAGTCAGATATCCACAAAATCGCTTCCACCCTACATGCTGGAACCGGGCGACCAGGAGCTTGTTCTCTTCAGGTGTGCATGCTTGCGTGCCCGCAGCACCCACATTCTTTTGACACCATTAATATTATAGAGCACCTCCGAAGACGGAGGACGACCACGATCCTATGCCAATACTGGAAGAAGACGAGGAACACCCTGAAACAGAAGGGACACATCGTGGTCTTGACCTCGAGTCACACGGTACCGCACAAGCGGACAGCTCTGCCACAAATCTTATATATAACGTTTCTGGTGACGTGTCAATGAGACGAAGCATAGACCTTGCTAGCTTGGGCACGTCGCATCACTCGCAAGGAAGTCATTCTGAACTCCTACCCTTGCATACTACACAAACGTCCGAAGATCCACGAGGAGAAGCGCCTCCATACTTTGAGGTTGTAGGTCAAGACACTATTCACACGTTACCTGATGTGCCTCCTGCATCAGAGACTTCCATCAATAATACTTCCCCTGATCGGCGCTCTAGATTCAGCTTCCTCTTCAAACCATTTGGCAGCTCATCACGATACCCGCCTCTTTCGATCCATAACAGGGCTGTCGTTCCTGAACATACTCGTAACGTTTCATCCCTCTCCGTGGCATCAACAACTAGTGGACATGGGCGCAATCGCTCGAGCTCCAATTCGACGCTTTTGAAAGCTCTCCGACCCCACGATCATTCCACGCCTATGACATCCCCGTCGACCATCTCTTTGAACTCAATATCGGCACCTCTCACACATACTGTTATGCGCTCGGAGTTCCGGGCGCCAAAAGGTGGCATGACGCCTGAGCAAATTAAACTTATCACCTCCAGGAATGCACTAGAAAGATTCGGTGTTCCATACGGTCCAGACGCTGTAGCATTTTCAGCATCAAGGTCTAATATGGCACCACCGCCCGACTTCGACGTCATCACATCGAGTTTGCCAGACCAAGCAAGTGGGTCACTATCAGCCGATATTCGCAACCCGTCTAGTACTAGCACACCAGAGAGAGAGACAACAGGAAGTCCTGTCTTTGATAGTGCTGCTGCGGATGAGGCTGGACAAACAACCGCACGTTCTGTCACATCCGGATCACCTCCATATTCCCCATCCAGAGCTGATAAAAATTCTCAAGTGCCATCATCATCACGCTCGCTACTACTATCTTCATATCAACGACAGGGTGACTCGCGCTCAAGTTCGACGACATCCTTTGAGACAGCTGCTTCCGAGTTCTCGCGGCCCACTACACCGCTCACAGCCCGACCTGAGACGCCGACAGCTCGGCCCTTTGTTGCATGAGAATATCTCAATCACATGGCTCTACTGGGACTTGTTTCCTACCACTATATCTGGCACTCATCTTGCTATCTTTTATCATAAATTGTTTCTCGAACTTTCGGCTACTTACCTCGGATGTCTAGGCTTTCTGTGGCCGTACATGTATTTTTGGTTTTGCTTCCGATTAGTCGGACGCTGCCAGTGTCATTATTCATAGAAACCTGTGTTCCATCATTTTCCCCATTGATATCATTCGCTACAGTAATCCGATCGCGATCCTTCAGCTAAGCTCCGTGGTTTCACGATCCAGATTGCGGCTTCGGACACGCGAGCGGTGTCATCTTCATTAGGGGGCTCGTGGGTCAGCACTCCGCCTCCAGCGGATCGTTTCATCTCTTTAAGGAGCACTTTCACACTGGATCTATTTGTGGTCAATGTCGTCCATCCAAGTGTTGCTCCCCAAAGCATGCTTTGGACCGTGTGGACCGTGAGCTTTGGGTTTGCTAAAGTAACTGCTGCTGGTGGGATGTCACCCTCATCGTTGCTCAAGTAAGGTGCAGCTGAGTGGCCAGGTGGACTCTGTGATTCCCGAAGTCTTGAGATGTCTTCTTGGGATAGTATATCCCGACAGGTCAATGCAAGGGACGTCATAAAAGATGACGAAGGATTTGGCTGAAAGGACTCGAGAGAAGTAGTATCAGGCTCGGAAGATGGGTACAATCTGATAGGTATCAATGGAATGAAATTAGACGGGTATCGTGAATGCACCCAGAATTGATTATGGGTGGATATGGTAGTCGTTCCAGAACACGTGGAACAAGAGAGCAGTACTCCAGCACGCTGACGTTCTCTTGTGCCCGCGATCTTGAATACGATCTGAAGACAACGTTGGCGAGCCTCCTGTGTCGTCCAAAATTGGATATTTTGCAGAGTAGGGGATATGGATCTCAAGCGGTCGTGCATATCTTGCAAGAGGCCCTTCTTCATCTCTTGTTGGGCTTGCTCTGCCAACACTCTTGAGTGGATTCCGGAGTCCTCCCATGTACTTGTTGCATCCGGAGAATTGGAAAGCATTTGTACTCGCTGCTTTTTCCATTCCACGTATCGTTGCGGCGGGATGAATCGTGTGTTGGCATCTTCTGGATCACTAGGCAGATGAGAGTGAGTGGTGTCAGAGATGAGCGCTATCAACGCTGAGAGATCAAGGTTGATATGAGCGGTGGGCTCCAAAACTGTTGGTCGCGCAGAAATGTCGTCCGTCTCCTTTACGATGCCCTGCCTTTCGCCTAATTGGACATCTATGCCCATTCTCTGGAGACATTCGATTGTGTATGCGATTCTGGGTTCGTCGGAGAGTGAAGGATTCAGTCGGGTCAGACGCATGGTAACCGAAGGAATTTCGTTGGAACCATGAGGATTTGCCCTTGCAGCCTCCAGAAGTTCACGACCCATACGCAGCACGGAATTGTCAAACTCTTGGGGTATCAGATTTTCCTTCTTCAGAGAAGAGTGCCCATCGCCGTCGTCCTCGTCAGAGCTGGTGAGATACGAGTCCATTTCGCGAAAGTCCATTAAAATGCGACTGTTCTTTATCCTGGGATATCATCCAGAGTTATTCCAGGTGAAATGTTGGATGAACTCACGTATTGACTCTGATCCAACGTCTCCCGTTATCAGCGACCACATCGACCTTAACGCTATGCCCTTTGGCTGAGCCATTCTTGGGCTTACGGGAGGCCCGAGGATGAGCGGCGGTGTGGAATGTCCGGTATATAGCAACAGCTCCACGAACTTGAAGTAGTTCCCTCCACACTGCAACAAGATATGGTGCATTGGTAGAGAGAGGAGGAAGAGACGTCGATTCTGGGTCATCAAGAAACTACTGCACATCGATTAGAATCATTGAATGAACGACAACATTCCTGGACACACCTTCTGGAAAACTTGCAGGTCTCGCTTCACCTCTTCTCGTAGAAACCGCAACCCGGGTAATACTTCACGGGTCTGAGTCTTTACTTCGCCCATTTCTTCTCCTGATGAGTCGATGATTGGCGAGTATTGGGATTCAGGCTCGTATGAATCAAGCTCGACGCTAACAGAGCGGAGGCAATCGCACAACTCGTATAGTTCTTCATGAGGTCTTGCCATGGTGTTGGCGCAAATATGATTTGCAGTTGGTTATGATAATCACCAAAACAGATCCTTTGCGCTAAAAATGTCGGAGGCGCACCAGGGCCGGGATCCGGGAACTGTCCGCCTCGAGACATTTACAATGCGTCTAGCTGAGGCTCATAGCTAGAGTTTTAAAATACGCTATTTTATACAGCTGAATTGATTATGATGCATGGATCTTTGAGGATCCTGATGACGTTCCCAACTTCCCATGTACTTATAGCATCGTACGCAGTCCCAACAGAAGGGGGGAAAAACCACTTGCGTACTACGGGTTATCCGGTATGCATGACATATGTTTGTGGTCAGGCTTCTCGAGGACGACGAGCTAACACAACAAATCGGTAGTGAATGAAAGTGCCATGATGAATTCAGCCATGTCCAAGTCAGAAAAATTAAAAGGCTACACCCTGTGTTAAATCAAGGTTATGAAAACAAAGTAATAGATGCAGTACAGATGGTATAGTAGATGTTAGATGGCATCGTATGGTAGTGGGATTGTCTTTCGTGGAGTGTGCAGAGCGTAAATAGGCGTATAGGAATATCATCCCGTGGGGAAGTTCGTGGGCCGGGTGGTAAAGGGAAGTATAGCTGTTTGTGCGTGGCGCCGAGCAGAAATAGAAGGGCCGCTCTTGCCCTTGGGAGGTGCAGCTCCCAGCATCACACCGCCAGTGAGGACAGTGGTCTTGCCACCATCGTAGGGGGTAACTTCGGTCTTGGAGGTGTCTACAAAGACACGAAGCTGCCTTGTCTTCTCGTGGCGGGTAAGTTGGGATAGCTGCTTGTTCTTCTTCTTAGGCGACGAGGTGGAGGCAGCCGTGATAGAGAAACAGGAGTCAGACGAGCAATGGCTGGAGCACAGATCGGTAGATATAGTAGAGAGGGACGATTTAGAACGTGCAGGAGTAGGGAAACGGTCAACGATAGGGATCATCCAAGTGGGTGCACTGATTTCATCAGCAAGCAAGGCGAAAAGTTCTTCATCCTCTGTGCGATCATATTCCCAGAGCTGCTGGGCAAGTGTCTTAGACCTTGAGTTGTTGGGTGGCAGCTGGCTAAAAGGCGTATGATGCGCGACGGACACAGCCTTAGCGATCGGTCCCTCCGACCAGATCGTAATGAGCTTGGTACCCTTCTCGAACTGCACAGAGATGCATCCTGGATCGACACGAAAGTCGAACTCACGTCCGCCCAAGGATGCAATCCAGTCGAACCACTGAACATTGGATGCGAGGCATGCGGTATATATGGCACGTGGAGGGAGGCAATTAGGGGAGAGGGTGAGGCAACGCTGGCTGGAACCACGAAGTGGTTCATTGGGAGTCCATGTCGGGGCGAACAGTGCAGTCAAGTTCGCCTCAAGCGCAGACTGAAGCTTGTTGGTGGTCGTAGTAGGGTGCGTAACGGTAAGAGGTCGAGTGAGATAAGCGATAGCTTGAGCAAGAGTGATGGAAAGGCTGGATGTGGCGGTCATAATAGCAGTCAAGGACGGGGAAGCGATTGGAAAGATCGATCGAGTGGTAATAATCGTCTTGCGATGATAGATACAGGTGATGCACGCTGAAAGGAAACGTGAGAATATGATAGTCTCAGTAGTACTGAGTTCTGATTCAGACAACGAGACTGAATGTGAGCAGAAGACCGAAACGTCTGAATTGATATTAATGTCAAACGAGACTCTCAGAGAGAAGAAAGAAAGCTGGCTCACTTAACAGACTAGACGAAGAAGGGGGACATGAAGCAGGTTAGTGGAAGAAGAAACGGAAGTCAACAGATACTTAACGAACCTAGCTGTTAGTAATTGGGTTGTCAAAACCCGAAAGGATAGTACATATGGGAGGCTACTTGTCCACTAACCTTTATATGCGTTCCAGGTGTGAGCTTAAAATTAAAGGCCACGCTGCCAGCAGAGCATCGTCCATAAACGGTCACGAAGCAAGAACAAAAAGAACATGTGAGTTCGTTCTGATGACACGAGAAGATGCACAAGATAGGTTTACGTCTTGAAATCCGATGCATAGCCCGAGTGTTATTGTTTTATCTGGAATATCATCGCATCGTCCCCTTAAGTTGATCCTTGTTCGAGCTCGGGTACGGAAGAATATCGATGCTAGAGTGGAAGCCGGATCGTTCGTTTAGTGCGGGTAATCCCGAAGATTTGTTCAATCTCCGCTCAAACCTTAAATCCCTACTGGGCATATCATCATCATTTTGGCCAGCGTACTGCTCGAGCTATTCAACAACTTTGACAAACGAAAACACCAAAAGCTTATCAAAATGGTACGCTGCACGTCTGTTCCGCTTGTCCGAAATCCTCACAAAACTTTGTTTAGACTCTTGCCGTCGATCTATTGAACCCCTCTGCAGAATATGAACGCAAACAGCACAAACTCAAGCGTCTTGTGCAATCCCCCAACTCTTATTTCATGGATGTAAAATGCCCAGGTGCGTCCCGTCGCGCTAGGCCCGACACCACTAATCTCACCCGGTTATTTTTAAGGGTGCTTTGCTATTACCACTGTATTCTCTCATGCGCAATCAGTAGTTCTTTGTGGCTCATGTGCAAGTGTCTTGTGCCAACCTACGGGTGGTAAGGCAAGACTGACCGAGGGTATGTTATCCGATTACGATGTTTTGTAATGCATTAAACTTTTGCAGGTTGCTCATTCCGCCGGAAGAACTAGATATTTACACTCGCACTCTTCATCTGTCCCCATAGTACATTATTACAAACGGGCGCGCCTCATGGAAGCCACGTTTTGCAATTTTCGGACGGCTCAATGTTATCTGCAGGAATCAAGTAAGTCATCGCTAGAACCATCCCAGAAATCAACATGAGCCGGAGTCTCGACGGTACTCTCGACCTTTCCCTCCTTCCACTAGAAGCCTGCATCACGTTTCCTCGCTGGAAGGGTTGAACTCAAGCGCTCTCTCAGGGTATAATGTAGCTCGCCTACTTCTCGGTCTTCACGGTCGCAATCAGTCCTAGACTGCTCGCCCAGTATTTTTGGTCGCAAACCTGGTCGAGGCTGTAAAGACATTGGTTCGTACAACTCCTCAGTTTCGTCATCCACGAAGTCATTCTTAAGTCTTGTTCGCACAACTAATGATACCTTCCTTATTGGTATGTTAGAAAATAGAACATGAGAGTATTCGAGCGTTACAAATTTGACTGAGCAAGGAGGTATCTTTCCAAGAATAAGATATCAGCAGCATTAGTAAACTCGATCACACTCTTCTGTTTGTATCCTACAAAAGACCACCACCTATTAGTATCGTCACACGACATATACGAAAAGACATACCATGCCCCTCCATCTCGCAGATAACGAGCTCGGTATGCACATTCTTCGACACAGTTTTGTACATGCTAACAGCTTCGTGTACAGTCACTCGAGTATCATTCTCGCCATGGGTGATCAGGAGGGGTACCGTGATCTTCGAAGTGTTGTTGATCGGCGAGATCCTGTCCAGGAACTCTCTGATTTCAGGGATGGTCTCATCGCCATACTCGCGTCTGCGTGCTGCTCGCCGGACATCCGCAGTATTCTCCAGGAACGAAGGCCAGTGCACGATTCCAAAGTTTTCAATGCCGCAGACGAGCTTTGAGGAGTAATGTGTCAGAGTCGCCTATATGCAGTGCCTGGACGTGAGAACGAGGTGCCTGTTGAGAAGATAGATATATCGCACCAAAGACATATATCCACCATCTTCAAACGGTGAGGGTTAATTTTTTTTGTAGGGATCACGAGAAGGCTACTCACAGGATCCACCTGCTACAGCAATGCGGGATGAATCCAATTCATTTTGCATGTTGGATGCGATGTGTTCAAGCAACGCTCCAATATCCCTGAGCAAACATTAGCCGTCTGTCACCGAAAAGGTGTATATGTACTGTACTTGACAGAATCTTCGCGTTTCAACACATCATCCGCGGCCATGTACTTCTTGCCATATCCTGAACTTCCGCGCACATTGGGGTAGATAACAGCAATTTTCAGCTCGTTCAATAGGTAACTATGCGTAGGTCTGTGGAACTCTGTCAGCCTACAATTTGCGCTAAGTAAAAATCATGACTAACGTGCGGTAATTGGCAGTAGCCTGAGATTCCGGGCCACCATGAATGTGGATGATGACCGGAGTCACAGATTGACCAACCGGGTGGTAATAGATGGCAGGGACTTCCAAGTTATCGAAGCTCTTATATCTGATGAGCGTAGGCGGAACTTCATGTGCCACCGTAGGTGGCGCTGCCTGTGCATATGGTAAGACAGAAGCGACCACGTAGGCGTTACCATTTTCATCTTTCTTGACATCATTCAACAATGGTAGAAGATCGAAGTAGGTGATACGCCCTCTGGAGTGGTATGATGTGAGATGCAGCGTTAATTCGTACGGCTTGTCATTGAGATCATTCGTTTGGAAGGTGAGCCAACCCCTTTCCCAGGTAACCTTGACCTCGATCACCGTGTTCTTGTAAGACCCAGATAGAGGCATGAAAAAGAGGGAGGTCCATCCCTCGACATTGACGGTAAATATAATATTGTCGCTAGTAACCTTGAGGTCCTCAATTTCCCATAAAATTGGTCGTATGGCTTGAATTGCGGCACCGGAAGTAGTGATGTGAGTGACCGATGCCGTGTCAAGGTCATAAGCGACGACCGAGGTAAAATCACCATAGCCATTTGTGGTGCAGTAGATCAAGTGGGGTAGATTGACGTTGTGGGAGAATACAACACCGCCGAACGCAGTATCTTCTGGTTTCTCTGTCACTCCTGGGAACTCGATTAGCTTGGGAGGTGATGCCTGTTCTCCAGAGATGTCGACAACATAAAGGGCATTGTAACTCGAGCCATATTGTCTTGTGATCAACAGATACTTGTCGTCAAGGGAAAAGCTTCGCGGGCTGTACATGGTCGTCCCTTCCCCAGTGCTTGGTGCGACTAAACGTGAGGGCAGAGTGAAGGGAGATGCGTCTGCCTTTGCGCCCGTGTTGGAGTCTATGAGCCTGGTAACATATACTAGGGTGTCCTTGTTGTTCTCCTTGTTCGACGCAAAGGCCATAAAGCTGTCCCGCGAGATTCGATCAGATACGAACTGAATGAACGAAGACAGACATACTTATTTGCCTGAGATATAACAATTGAGCCGTATCTATAGTCATCGTGAGTCAATCTCTCGATTCGTCCCAGGCCAGGCGCGTTATCCAGTTCTCCTTGTACTTTCGGAAGAACTTGGTCAGCGAGAGAATCCTCCCAGTAACGCCTGCGATTTTGGTCAGACAGGATCTTAAGCTGTACGTGGCTACGTGCCATAGTTGAAAATGTTCATTTCCGTTGAGATCCATAACCATGATGGCTCCTCCACGCCTGCGTACACCCCGCCAGTCATCCTCCAGAATTCCGCGGAACGCCGATATTGTCCTGCCAGAACCAATATCAAAGTACGTGAGCCGGCTCAGCTCGGTACTGGAAGGATCTGTTGGCATGCGATACAGCTGAGTGACTTGGGCGTCTGCAGGTCTGTGCGCAACAATGATGCCTCCTGGAACTTGTTTTCCATTGGCATCCTTGATTGTCCGCTCAAAGCCTGAGGTACTAAAGCCTTGCGAACCAGATATATCACAGTGCACTTCCAAGAATTTAATGACCACACACCTCGAGCAGCATCTTCATACTGCTTCATACCATCGAAAATGCGCTGCGGCACCGCTGGCAAGTTGACGGCCTTGATCTGCTTGGCGGGTCTAGTAAACTCCAAATTGCCATAGTCGACAGGTGTGGCCATCTTGATTGCAAGCGTGGTTCTGCGGATTGTGGGGATGGATCACTTGTACTTATATCGTTGAAAGGATATAAGTATAGTCAACGACCATGTGTTCATATTGACACAATCAGTGATACACATGATAACAGCTATACCACGAGGTGCCATAGTGATCATAGGACTTGATAGTCTCGTGCAGCAGAGGAGGTCTAGTTTTGTCGAACGTCCCATCGGAAATTCATTTCAATGCCCAAATGCAGAACTTGTCTTCGTGCATCGATCACTGTCTTGTCTTCCTATGTATGCACAGAAGTTCCATTCATTTCTCAGTCCTTCCCCTTTGTCCTTCATCATTTGCATATAAGTTTAACACGACACTCTCGGTCCGATCGTTGTTCGGTTCACCTGTTCATCCCAAGTATTACCCCGGACACCTAAATACGGCATCCTCAATATTATCGAAGTCTCTCGAAAATTCTATCTCCAGGTGACCATTTCCCTTCGAGCTTGTACTGTTCCTCTACAATGTGGGGCAACCAGGCGAGGATTAATGCTCTACTGAGGAAGTCGCTTATCGGGGAACTTATTGACACCCAATTTCACCTATTCTCCGTTCGATCGAAGCGCGAGGGCAACGTTACCAACCTTCAAGCATTGTTTGCCAATGACGAAGCCCTCACCACCGGTTCAGAGTACTTCAGTAGCTGTAAGCCGTTTCAAAATTCTGTTACAAACTCAGTAAAGTTCAGGAGACACTTCCAGTACTTTCCGAAAATTCGTTCAATGATTCTGCTGTGGTCGAATTTCAAGACTATCACACCTGTGAGGGAGGGATCTCCCTTGATGAATATGGTTATGCATCCGATAGTGACCTCGATGAAGAGGAGGAAGAGACTGACGAAGATGTACAAGACAGTGAGTGGCTCCACCCATCCTGGCACAGTATACCCACCTTAACTTGATATTTTGAAGATGAAAGGTGTGCAGGAGTCTCTGCGGAACGAGTATCTCGAACCGCATCAATCAAGGACTTTACTACCAAAGGGGCGCAACGTATCATTCCAAGCCGCAGAGTATTGGTAATGGATACGGCATTCAATACGTGCGGTTCACTAGCCTCGCACTAGGTTATGTTACTCATTAATTCTGCATAGCTGGCGGTCTTTATTAGACTATCTGTATACTGATGAGATTGATTTTCGCACCTTTGCGATCGCAAACCAAGTCAGCGAGACATCACAGCCTCGGCGGGGCCCCACCATGCTCTCCGAAGTCTATGTATCGCGTAGCATGTAAGGTGTGTCTCGTGTAACCTTCGATATTCTCTATGTGGACCCATACTGGGGATTGTACTAGATCAAACACGATAAATTGCAGGCAAAAGCGCTTGCTGCGATACGCTCTAGTCTAACGGAGCACAACGTCCTACAGGAACTCTCTTCGTCTCTAACATCCAGGTTAGTCAGTCATGCATGTGCGCTACCATCGGGATGTTAACATGTCTTTTGAAGGTTTCCTGCCATTCTTGAGATGGAAATCGAAATCTTATTCCAGAACATTGTTACTCCCACTGTCACGAAGGACTTTCCGATGCTTATTCAAAGAATTGCTAGCGCTGGCCTCCCGCATGGTGCTGACATCCTGACCAAACTCCACGAAAGAATGTTAAAGCAGCACTACCCTACGATTTTGTCTCCTGAGGCTGCACTTGCATCTGAAAAGTATGTTGATATGTATATGAATTGCTGACTACTGGATCTAATTTGCCTCTGTGGAACCTTCACAAGTGAATGCAACGGCTCGCCGCTAAGTGGTCCATTCAAATTCAAACGGGAAGAGCCACAAAACCCGGTGATGGTTATTGGCGATAAGGACGAAAGAGGACAGAAGAGTGCGCCCACACGGTCCCGGAGGATTCACATTTAACCTCCGGGACATACTATGAATTCTCTTTTCCTTTCTTGACTCTTATCGACTCGTAGCACCTTCGACATCTTATATCACCCTCGTGTATCAGTCGCTTCTTTCCGTCTCGGACTTCTTGACATTCCTGTATTTAATCCCTTCCCCGTTTCCACTCTACCTCAGCGTTGCTTCACCGTCTGCTGAGGTATGATCACATTCTTGTCTCATTTATCATCTTGTTAACGTTAACGCTTGCTTTAGACTTACTCCGTGTGTCTAGGTAGTTAATGTTAGCGTTGCTTCACCGTCTGCTGAGACTTACTCCGTGTGTCTAGCTTCCAATAATGGTGTCGTTCTAAATACATTGTAGCCATATTATTCATGTAGGCTCCCACAGTAATAACGAGGAACTTGTTTTCATCTGATGGACCGGAGGCACCCTCATGCAGTATATTAGCACGTGTCATGATCAGATAACAGTACTAGTGGTTCAGAGTGACAATCAGAAGAAACTCTTCTTGAATGAATTCCTCAGACATCCACGTCCTCGCATCGGAGGCATCCGTCACTTCTCTGCGCGTAAAACCTGCTCCACAGGCCTCTGCCATCCCCACGCAATTCTCCTACGCCCCTAGTGACGACGGAACGGATGAGAACCTCCTTATTCTTCTTCATGGGCTTGGTAAGCGTGGCGTCGGACAACTTAGCTAGGGCAACTAATCCGAACCGAGTTATCGATGAACAGGTGGCACCAACGTCCCCTTTGCGCGCCTTGGGAGATCGCTCAAGCTCCCGCAAACAGCCACCCTCGCGCTCCGCGCACCCGATCTGTAAGTGTCTGTTCGATCATTCCGATTGTATGTTCATTGAGCTTGACAATATACTAGTGTCCCATTCCTGTACGAACAGGCTTTTCAGTGGTATCCTTCCTTCGACCAGCTCGGCGACCTCATCGAACGACCAGACCCCAGCCCTGCACTCAATCTTCTGAAGCATATCTTCGGCCATCTAATGGGTGAATGTGGATGGCCTCCACATCGCATCCACTTGTTCGGATTCGCACAAGGCGGAAGTGTTGCAGCTGAAGCATGTCTGCAGTGGTGGCGTCGCGAGCTAGAACTTTCATCACAGTCGCGCATGACCAACAAAGAGACCCCCGTGCGGCCCTTTGGTTCGCTCGTCACCATTTCTGGCCCGCTGCTCTCATACCCAACGCTCTCGAAACCATGCGAGACGCCTGTTCTTGTGTTTCGCCGCCCACGTGAGCTCAAGGACGAGGCGCTAGTTGCATTCAGGAAGGGTTTCTCTCGAGTAAAGGACGTGGAGCGTGCGGGTGAGGGTATGCCACGCGCAAGCTCAAGGGAGGAATGGCAGCCAATCTTGGAGTTCTGGAGTGAGGTGCTCGGATGGCGTCCTGGGGATGGTCTGTATGAAGTCACAACGGGAACGTCAAATTAAGAACGGGCAAGTTTCGTATATCAATCTTAAAATATTGAAAACCGACGGAAAGCAATCTTTGCGTCGCTTCGGGAAAGGTAAGCTGGGCAATGTATTGTGATTTTCAATATACTAGTCGTACTTTGCATAAACATCATCAACGAGCTCAAACAAATAATCGTTGAAAGGGAGCACTTGAAGCTTATCGTGGCTGGTTTATGAGACACTCAGTGTCCTGCCCCAATGCTTCACTGGCATATCTTCATACCCCCAAAGGAAAGATGAGAAGAGGTGTACAGGAGTGAGGAAGACTCGTGTACTACAGCCATCGCCCATCTCGTGCTAGTGGTGCCGAAAAGTGCTAGTGTTGTGTCATATATGCGCTCCATCCTATCATCATCGACCTTGGTACCCTATTGCAGTCCACGCTTTGCATAGAACGCCTAGATTTGGGCTTTTCATTTCGGTGGGGATTCGTATCGACGTGGCAGCATAGCAGATCTTGCTCATGTCTACTTGTCTTTCCCTACAATGTAAGCTCAAACGTGTCATGTATTGCAAGTGCAACCATGACAAACAGCACGAGTTTTTTGCTCCTGCATTTCGCGGACATACCAGTGCGACAATGGGCCCGTCTTTCTTGGAACATCTCCAATGTAATTCTCGTAAGACTAGAAGAAATGCGAAGTGAAAGGGTTAGATACCACAGAAAGACACTCAGATGTTGCTACTGATTCGTGAGAGCGCGTACCAAAAACTGATTTTATCAGAGACGTCGTTGCACCCTTTGAAAATTCATGTAGATGCCAAGTAGGTGCTCCTGTTTTCAGATGTCAGATGTCATCACCGTCAGCGTCGAGATGACTGCTTTCAAACTTGAAGTTCCCATGGCAGCTGCAGTCTTTCATTTGGAGTGCACGTAATTCAGTAGCTACAACCTTGCACGTACAGAGATGAAAGGACGTGCTGATCGACTCACCCTTATGTCTGAAATCTGACGAGATCATCAGCAGTGAAGGAACTCTAGTGTGCTCACTGCTGCACGCTGGTATCATGATAGACTGAGGATGCCTCCGCGATGGCTCTTTACACATTTCGCCAGGCTGGCACGACGACTCGCAGTATTGAGTGACCGTTGGCTTAAATTGTTTCTAGATTATAGGCGGGTCTGGACTCTGCAAGGAAGGTTGGAAACAAGCCACGATGTTCGTCGGACTCGTTTACGCTGCACGCGTATTACATAAACTTTTGTTATACTAATCATTTCAAACTTCAACTTGAAGTTCAAGTTGACGTGTTTATTCTCTTTGAACATACACAACCATCAGACCCACAAGCCCGGCGGAAGAAACCAGTGTATATGCACGAGCAATGCATGCAGAAGGTCTGAACGAGAAATTTGGCATATTTTTTGTAAATTAATTTGTGTAGATTTAAGCATCATGCACATGGTGCAGCCGCGCAGATACCGGTATAGCTATGCGATAGTGTGATCCTTAATATACTGGTCGTGCGCTGCATGAGCGTCATCGATGAGCTCGAGTAAAAGCTTATCTTCTTCATCATTCAGACAGTCCGTTGACTCGTTCTTCCCCCACACGAATTGAGTCCTCTTCTCCCTGATATTATCCACGACAAACTCAGACCAGGCCTTCCACGCTTTTGGTTTGATGGGGACAATCTCCTGGAGGACTTGCGTAGGTGGTGTGTTAGACTCCCAACAGAGCGCTAAGCACGCCAGAACGGCAGCGGTTGCTCTAGAACTGGCTTGGTACGTTTTCACCTCCGGAGTATTCAGTAGGGTGATGAGGGCACTTGATTGCACTTCGTCTTCATTTGCTGAGAGATATAGATTGCATGCCACAGACACTAGCAGTGATAACAGGAACATGAGTTGTCCTGGTAGCGATCCGAAAGGCATGAAGACGAGCTGTAGGGTAACTTGCAACAACGCTATGAACGCGCAGAGAAGGACGGTGTAACCCCCTCCTTTGAGCTCCAGTCGCAGTTTCCCCTTGGTCACAGCGTTAACATCCTCCTCGTTGCCTCTCAATATCACGATACGAGTATCCGATAGTAGCATGCCGTCTCCGCGTGGAACACCATGTGCCGGTTTGAGCCGTTCAAGGGTTATATTCCCAGTGGACATGATGGAAGAAGTGATTCCAGAGGAGATTATCCCAAGCAGAATCATCTTGAAGGATAACCAGTCCTCAACACTAACACACATGGCGCAAGCTGCGATGCTAGCGGCGCTGGCGATCATGGGCAATGAAGAGTGGCGAGAACTTCTTGGAGGTAGCGTGTCATTTCCCGTCGGCACCTTCTTCTTGAAGTCCACGATCATCAATTGCATGGGCGTCGGGCTTATCCTCTGACCCACGACCACTGGCTTGCACTCCTTGCCCCTCCAGCTGCTGTTGTTAAGCACGTAGGCGAGATGGCGAGTATGCTGCATGACCGTTCCTGACCGCGATGCAATGTATTTTGGTCCTTCTTTGCCATCTAGGCCGAGGGACAGCGCGAGTCTCTCTGAATACAATGAGAAGGGACCCTGCAACACTGTTCTAACCAGTTCCCACACAATTGCATGGCATCCAGGTGCATTGTACCACCCATGCCATATACGACCATACATCGGTTGTAATGCAAATGCAGATACGGCTGCTTTGCCTCCGAAAAAAATGGACACTCCGGACGCGATATCGAGGTTAAAATGCGACCATGATAATCGAGAGGAATCAGAGGCGCTAATGAAGAAACTGAGAGGCGATTCGAGGGGCATGATATTCTTGTGAGAAGGGAAACGGCCAGTGTTCTTGTTCTTATGTGTTTCTTGTATGGCTTGGAGGACCCTGAGCGACCATCATATATGGACACTCAGCACCGGTTTGAGATGGGGTACTAGGCGCACGAAACTTCAGCCTCGGGGGACCTCCAAATACCCGGGCGCCAAGGCTCATGAACTAGTGGGGTCTGCCTCGATCGAGTCAATGTGGCACTTCCTCGGGACCTACACAAGGCATTGACGTTAAAGAGCCACTGATATCAAGGGTCCTGTGGTTCCTTGGTCAAGGCTGTGATCTGTTTTCAAACTCGACCAATGGTACTGGCCCACAGGAACCACTCTTGCTGTTTAAAATAACGGAATCCTTTATAATCGAGGCACATGGGCTATGTCAATACCATACAAATCTCGTTAGTGTAAGTACTGGAATGTCGTGCACTGATACCCGGAGTATTAGTATACGTATTACTTGTACTCTAGGTAAAATTTGGTACTAAATCAAAATTCTGACTCGGGGACAGATACAGCTATCGTTATAACATAGTCAACATCAAGCGTTGCCTCAGAGACGCAAACTTGTCCCTTTCGAATATCGATTTCAATCACCTTGTCTGACATCAGTCTCATTTACGAAATCAACCCTGCGATTCCTGATGCCATCCATATCGATGGAGTAGGTTTGAATTATAGCACACACAGGACACCCAGTGCCACCTGCGCGCAGCTGCGCAGCATAAGGGGCGGTGAAGTTCCTCTGTGGAATTCTGGGCCTGTGGGTTCCGGTGGAAGTACAGGAGAGAGACAGTGAACGAGAAGACGACGCAGAAGGAAAATCAGGATCAGATTGGGAGGAAGTAGGGGAAGGTCGCGCAGGAGGAGAAATGAGATTGGCTTGGCTGCCAGATTGGGAGGAAGTAGGGGAAGGTAGTGCAGGAGGAAAAATGAAACTGGCTTGGCTGTCAGATTGCGAGGAAGTAGGGGAAGTTATAAGAGGGGCCTCATAGAGGGGTCGACGGCGGAGTCGCGAAGTGTCGACGTATCGGTGAAGGCCAGCATCTGCGAGGAGATGTACCCAAGGACGGTGATGTTCGATCCCAATGAGAAGGACCGTTACTTCGCCATGTGGGCCCTGGGAGTAAACGCAGCCACACTGCATATTATTTGAAAGCTCAATTCCGAGTGTCGGGATAAAGAACTTCGTAGCCAGTCCCCTGACCCACATCATGGCCTCCCGGCTTAGGGCATATGGCATAGTGACTGCAGTGCTCCCAAACAGGACCTATGGACTGAAAAGTGAAGAATTGTCGGCGTTTAGTAGTTGGTAGTATGTGATGGTCGACCGCAATACGTATTGTATGCGGAGCAAGGCCTTGGAGATCTGCGGACTCGAGTTGTATAAGCTTTGTGGGCGAAGTCCGTAGAAAATCATCGGAACCAGATCTTTCTTTCAAGTAGATCCCGTACGGAAGCTTCTGACCTTGCCTTTTGCATCTCAGGACGGCAAGCCACCCATCTGCGACTTGCTTCATAGGAAGAGTGATGTGAATGCCGTCATTCAAAATGGAATAACCGCGCGGTAGTCCGCGAAAGGGGCTGCGACTTCCTGGAAGAATGTTGATAAAATCGGAATGATCAATGGCAACGACCGGAGAAGCCCGCATGAAAACGTCAGGTGCAGATGCCAACAATCCGCGATTTCTGACAGAATGTGGATGTGCCAGTGAATCGTGCCAGGCGAAAATGGTTTGATCATCCGATGATTTCATGATCTCGAGCTGCAGGCGCTTGAAAGCTTTGTCTCCTTCTCCGTAAATGATGGGCATGTGGATACCAAATAACCCCATCAGAGAATAAGCTCTGTCTTCTATTCTCTGTGTCTTTCGTCCTGCAGCCCATGACATCTTCTCCGCGATACTGGATTCGCATTGGCGATGGTTACCCAGCAGAATATCTTGGCGAATGTGGGTGATTTCATTCAGGATAGACGCAAAGGTCGCTTTGCTCCCGATTCTCGTCCAGTACTTGTTGAAGAAATATACATTATCTGGAGCGATTAGCTCTTGTAAGGTCCATCCTCTTTGGAACCACTCGGCGTTTTCGAAACCGAATTGGGGGTCCTCATAGCTACCGACATCGTGCAAGTAAACGTAGCACACAGCGGAGTCCCTATACCATGCATACATGGAATTGATCGCTTCTGATAACTCGGCACTGCTGGTTTTGTCAATGCAGCAAGTGTCAATCCAGATATAGTCGAGACGAGCTCGGAAGGCATGCTCGCACGCTCTTTTGAATTTTGTGAAGCCTTGTTTGCTTTGAACGTTGGAAGGGAAAATGGGCTCCTTGAAGTGAATTGATGGTAAATGTCAGCAAGCAGAAGCTCGAACGAAATGACATACGGCATGATTAGAGCCTTCGCTAGGAGAAACTTGCGTGTGTTGCAAGTCTTGGAAAGATATTTCTTCATGGTCTGCGAGCCATCGGTGAGATAAGATGGCATAAGGTCGCACGCCCGTGGGTGTTTCTAACTTTAGCTTCTTGGTATGTAGCAGTCGCATTATTCGCCTTGTCGTGTGGTTAATTCCAACCCATTGACTTAGAGTTGTGCAGTCAAAAGGGAAACTCACCACCAGATGGATGGTATGGGGCGAAGGGCACGAAGGAAGGCTGGAACAATGAAAAGGGTCGCCACTGATTATAAAGAACATTCTCAGCGTCTATCATTGACATGAGGTAAAAAAATAATCAATACTAACTTGAAGGTCACGGTGCTCACTCCAAAGGCGATGCAGGCTTGTATGTTGTGCTTATTTTCGTTGAGGTACGGCAACATCCAGAAAATTGTTACTATCGTTATGAAAGCGGTTTGAAACCGAGGTCAGTCGCATGGTCATAAGACAGACGAGCGTGAATGTGCACCTAGTATACTGATAGGGGAGAGAATATGTTCAATTCAGCACCGTAGATCTGACCTACTTACCTTTTCTTAATTGATGTACCGATGCCGTCGAACAAGACAACGGCATGGAATTTTTGCAAGCACTTGTGTAGACACCGGGTCACGGTTGTGTTAGCATTGCGAGAATTTCGTCAATAAGCACGTACATACCACTGAATTTACCAAAATAAGTAGGTACCAACAGAGTCCAGGCACGGCACAACACAGAGTCGGTTGCAGTCTTTCGTCCCTGAGCCTGACATGAGTCATGCCACCCACATGCGTAGTTGGCAGTGCCGGTTACCGTTAGATTCGTTCGAGTCGAAGGTAGCGCGTCTAGAACGGCCGGCGGGAACGGCGGACTGGTGGGGGTACGCCTCATACCAGGGCATTCGCGTACCTTGAGATGCAGCGGGGCACGGGGCCCCAAGAATAGATAGTACTGTCCAGCATAGAGTAACTCTAATAGGACATTAATGGACACAAAAAAAAACCTTGGTATAAAGTGACGAAGCGGCGCATTAGAGGACTAAAGTCGCAAATTTAATATCGTCCTATATGCCGAAAAGGTTTTCATTGCATCAGGATATAAAGTCGTGTATAACCACCGCAATTAACGTAAAGCATCCCTGGGAGACTCACCAGTAGCCATGAGTGAATTAGAGGCAACGAGTCAAATTTGTTAGGAGGAGCCATATGCATGATGGTAGACTTGAGGTTCACAAATTCCCTATCGGACACTCCCAATAGTATCGAGTATCTGAACCAAGCTTAAGTTTTCAAGCCTCGAGTAAAGATCGATAATGGCCCTACATGCGTAGCCACCTTGTCTTCGCTACACAATCAATCCAAGCTTGGTAAAATACGAACCCCTGGATATAACTGAACTTCATCAGGTGACGCCGCATGACATTTTGCGTTGTGCAAACAATGGAGACAAGATTTGATGGATCATTGTTCTCCTAACACATCTCACCCACTGCCTCCAAAATCTCTGCTCTCGTTCGTGCATATGGATCTGCCTCTTCCGGCGTGGGCAGTTCGATATGTGTATCGACCCATGCAAGCGCCCAAGCGCCGTTCCCTGCCTTCGTTCCCCGGAGCATCTTCCGCTGTCCAATTTGTACCCAGCGACAGCGGGTAGGTTGCGTGTCTGCGCGATCTAGAAAAAATAGAATAAAAACGTGGGGAAAAATAGCAATAGAGATATACAAACAATGGACCAGTCCTGTGTGTGGCTCATACACGCCAAGAGGATATTGTGATTCTTCAACTCTCGCTCTCTTCCTCTCCGCGCCCTCAAGCTCCTCAGTCGCCCCTCGCTTCTCCTCTGCTTCAGTCACTTGCACTTCCTTCCCCTTCCCCCTGTCAAGTCCATCCCCAAGAATCCCACCACACGCAACCCTTGCTTGCCTTCTCATCCGCGCCCATTCCTCACCAGCATCTCCGACACGCCTCGCAGCCTCCGACATCCAGTTCTCTTCCGTGAGCCCCTCCCGTGTTAAGATCGATTTGCGCACTGCGCTGTGCGGTCCATCACTAAACGGTCCCCAACCAGTGCTCCCGAAAATGGTTGTAGGTCCTCCCGCTCGATATATACCCGATGATGTAGAGGTGGCGGGCTGCTGGCCTGAAGGTGCGGTTTGAGATGAGGCACCCAATGGGTCGGGAAGCTCGCCGACCAGGTCGCCTGGCTTAAGTCCTTTTTCTGTGATCTCGGGGAGAGACTTCGATTCGTAGTAGTCGTCTGTGACCCAGCGGCCATCTATAGTCAAAGATAACAAATTTTGTATGGGTTTCGTTGTATGAGAATAAAAGCGTACCCAGAATCATCTTGGCACCATGGAGTTTATATGCACTGCGTGCGGTGACGAGGGTGACGCTGCGCGTTTTCAGGTGTGCACCGAGCTTCCCTGCGGAGATGAGGAACTCCTTTTCGGGCTGCGTAGCGGAGAGCTTGAGTGCGAGCGGATTGCGCCGGAAGAAATATAGAGAATCACGAAACCCTGACGCACGCGCAGCATCGATGGCGAGCATATACTGCCGACTTGGGTGCCGCTGGGGTAGCACGAAGGTGTGGCATTTGAACTTACGACCTGAATTGTCCACAACGCAAGTTTTGGCAAGGTTAAGAGACTGATCAGGTAGAAAGCTAGTACACACCTCCTAGAAGATTGCCATCAGCATCAACCTTCTCGTCACCTTTCTCGTCCGGGTCTGTGACAAACTCGTCGCCGTCAATAAAGTATACCTTTCCTCCCACTCGCATGAATGGTCGACCATCTTGCTCCCCTTCCTCGGCTTCAGCATCGTCAGCATCTTCGCCGTCGCGCTTTGGCAGTCGAATAGTCAAAGACCCACGTCCCCGCCCTCGTCCCCGCCCCCGCCCCCTCCCTCGTCCTCGCCCACGACCGGGACCAGTAGGGGCTGCACCTCGCCCTCTTCCACGCGGGCGTCCCCGTGGGCGAGGGAACGGTCGTGGCTCCACACCTTCAGGCTCAACCTCCTCCGCTCCGCTGCCTTCGCCTTCATCTCCTTCACCCTCGACTGCACCTTCATCGGGTTCCTCATCGCCAGGCTCGTCTTCATCAAGCACACCCTCTGAATCCTCTCTCTTGGTCTGGAGTTCGCCTTCTTCAACAGAGTCGTCGGCGTCATCTTCATCAACGACAGAAGGCGTAGCTGGCGTTTGGGCGAGGCGCGGCTTGAGAATGATCTTGGGAGTAGAAGTAGATGTATTGGCACGTTTCATTGTCAATCTGAGAACTGGTTCTTTATGAAGACAAGGGTGCAGGGATACTCTGTAGCTAGTGACAATAGGAGATAGTTGGTAGATCGGTGTTCAACGTTCGGATGAGACTTCGGAGATATAATTTCGCAAGGCGCGTCGCGTATACTTAGCAACTATAGTTGAAGCTATTTCGGTTCACAAATTTCATGCTCGACTGCGATCTGACACCACAATACAATATACAACAAGAGCATGCAAAACGAATGGGACAAAGCGATATTTGATTCATTTGTTCAAGAGTACAATTCACGACCAGCAGCACCCTCAGCAGCATGTCCAGCTGAGAAGAATCCGTCCCACTCCAAATATATTTAGCGCGCGGAGGGGGACGGGGCAAGACCTGCCCGGCGTTAGCGCACCGCAGATTTTGTTGAGGCCTTAGCGTCACAGGCTCACTCTGCTTAGTCGTTTACTCTGTTAAGTCGGTCTGGTTAGAGGACGACGGAAAACATGTGATGAATACGAACTGGAACGAGCTCTCATCTTTCTGCGTTTGCGTCTGAGCCTACGGGAACGCTTTTTCTTCCACTTGTCTCTCATCCTGGTGATACCCAAAGGTCAGATCGACACGCAACGATAGAAACTAGATGGTAACACACCTGTTTGATGATGGAAGTGTCTGAGGAGAACACCTTGGAAGCGTGGGGTACTATGGTGGGGCTTGATGGTACTGTACAGCTGCTTACTCGATACAGTCTCACGGCTACGTCGTATCCGGTTGCGGATGACGTGACGCAATTCAAAATCGGCGTTTACCGATCAAGACTGCTTCGCGAACTTCAAGTTGGTGCTTATATCCTCGCGGCTCAGCAGACACTGCCTAACATGCTACGGGCATCGACTAACGCGGTGACACGGCTCACTATGTCCATGACACGACCATCCAGCTCGCTGCTGTGTAGGAGGTCCTTCACATTCGTCCGTCTCCCCTCAGCGCACGCGGCTTCCCGAGTTGCATCTCCAACCAGTCACACGCATACTCTCTTCGCGCGCTGCTCAACCTTCGATTCAGTAATATCAGACCCATCTCGGCCCGACCTCTTCTACCACCCCGTTTCGCTTCCAATGGTAGGCTCAGCCTATGCAGTTTCCTTCCTCACTCAACCACCACCGACTCCCGATTCGTGCTCTGTGTTGGGATGGTTGCCCGCAGAGACTGCAGGAGAAGCAGACGCGGAAGCCGGGTTAAATGATTTCGTAGAGAACCGTATGTTATCTGCAGTAAATGATTTCTATTGATTCGCATACCCACTGACTGTTTGCATAGCCAAGTTTCGCGTAATCATGCACGAGGCAATCCAAACCGGTTTACAGGAAAAAGTGGACGATATTTGGATCAACGCTGCACTGCAATTACAACAAGGCTGGATGCATATACACGGTATGTGACGCTCCCACTTTGCTTACGTTCGGTTAGAAACAAAAACAATGTCGTAGACAGCCGCAACCTTCCAGCCCTGGGCAGAATAGGCGACCCGGATGATATCATCGCCTCTGTATTAGTGCAGGATAGCAAAGTGAGCTTTGATGCGTTCTGCTCAGTATTACTCATCAGGTCCTTGGAAGATTCTTCCCGACACGTACCAGTCCATGCCATCTTATCGCCTTTGCACTTCTGATGGCCCGACTCTTCTTACAGAGGGACTTGCAGCTAAGTTGAAGTTGGTGCTAGAGGGCGCCATCGCCCGAGAAGTGGCCCAGTGACGCCCCCTTCGGTCGCACCGTCGTCCTTATTACCAGGAGCACCCTCAGCAGCAGGGGCTTTAAAACCCTCATGTTCGCCCGATGATTGCCAGCCAATCGTGGATAACTAGTACTTATTACTTGCATTTTTCACTGAGCACCAGTACTACACTCATACTTCTTCCTTCGCATAGCCACGACTCATCAGCCAAAACCTCATGACTTGCAGTTCGAAAGTGAAAAGTGTGCGTCCATTTGCAAATTTGATAGAACGTGAGTCCAGCTCCAGAGAAGCTATACGATGAGATCATAAAATATACAGCACAACCAAGAGCAGAGCAGGGACAAAAAAATCAAAGCAGATGCGAGTAGTAGATAAGGGGAGGATAAATGAAGAGCAAGATAAAGATAGGGGAAAATATACTCGTTAGATGTCATCAAGACTGTCATAAGATATAATGCGTAAAATATGGTGCCTGAGCTCTATTTTGTGATGAAGCAATGAGTCTTTACCGGTAGCTGCGTGGCGAGCGAGGTCCGAAGAGACCAGGACTGCCTTGGTCAGGTACAATCAGGTTAGGCTCAATCGACGGCGGCGTAGGTGCCAGCGCAGGGTTTGCTAGTATCCATGGCGTCAATTCACCTTCTTAAATGATGCAATGAAACTCAATACTCACGATGCCAGGTAACCCAGGAATGCACAGGCTGCCTCATAGGTGCTGGACCAGGTTCAGGGGGCGGTGGCTGGTCGGGACGTGGCTTGCGAGAGCGCCTCGTGTTGCGGAGTGTGCGCCATGCTGGACGAGAAGGCCCATGTTCATCAGGAGGCGGGGGAGGTACCTCGGGCGGTGGCGGTGGATCAGGCGCACCAGGGCCAGGCATCGGCGGTTTCCTATCAAAAAAGATGAGAACGGCCCAAGTTAATGGTTAAGACATCTTACCACTCAGGATCAAACTCCCCTCCTGGTCCGTATTTAGCTTTCATCATCATCAGGTATCCAAGTTCACTGAAGGAGACAGATGTTCAAACACACGAAACAATGTATTCAAGCAAGAACTCACTGTTGGATATTGCGGCGTTCTTCGCGAAGCTTGCCAACTTCTCCAAGGAGCATCCGGACCTCAGTCGCGAGCGCTTTGCTAAATTCGTCAAGATACTAGAAACGGTCCCGTATGAGCTTTCTCTCTGAATATATATGGTTCACAGGCACTCACCACTTGCACATTGAACGGAACTTGCTCCCGGGCAGTAGCACGGACAGCTTCAAGGGTGTCTTCATGCCGCCGCTCACCTTCAGCGCGCCAGTCTGCCATAAGGAATGAAATCAGCGAAGCACCACTCAAAGACACACCCAAGACATACCCTCAGAAAGAGCCCGAAGCGCCTCTCGCATTTCGTTATTTTGCCGGGTGAGTTCATCGAGCACCACTTGGATATCCGGCTTACCCTCCTCCCGTAGCCTGCGCTCTTCCTCTTGTATTCGATCCGCCTCACGGTCTTGAATGAGCCTGGAGACCATATCCTTCAGTTCATGGAATTGCGCATCTTTCTCAGCACGCCTGCCCTGCTTTTCTTCCCACCGCTGATCCATGAGCTCCCTCTTCCTGGTACACTCATCGCGTTGCTCCGAAACCAACTGTGTGATATCGCCCAATTGCACGCGCATGGCTTCGTCACGTTCATTGGCAGCTGCTCGTTCTTCATTTTCAGTCTGTCGTAGCTGCCTTTCGCCATCAAGCTCCCCACGAACGCGTGCGAGCTCCTCTTCCAGGTCTTGAACCCTTCGTTCACGCTCTTCATCCATGCGAGCACGCTCGGCCGCAAATTCAGCACGTTCCTGATCCCTCTCGGATGCAAAAGACTCTCTTTCGCGAGCAGACTGCTCGCGCTCAAGTCGAACCGTCTCCAAAATGTCAGAAGAATGGCGAGAGGACGCCTCATGAGAAGCTGCGTGAATCGATTGAATGATGGAAGCACTATCATCAGATCCAGATGGAGGAGGGACTGGTATAGGAGGTACACTGTGCGCCCTCTCTTCTAGTTGAGCAAATAGATTGTCACTGCGTTGTCTTGCCTCAGCCTCACGCCGATCTTCGTTTTGGAGGAACAAATGCTCTCTTGCTTCTTCATTGTTTCGAAATTCTTCTTCACGATGGTTTTCAGCTGCATGAGCGTCCTGAACGACCTGGTTGAGTTCACGTTCTGCTTCTTCCAGTCGTTCGTGCCGCTGATTAATGGCGTCATCAAATCCAGTTGGGTCAAAGTGCACATGAGGATCATGACTTGGCGGGGAGACATGGCCAGTTGGTGGTGGGACATGGACCATCTCGCTCGGATGTCGGCCGCCATCATCCTCCAGAATAGTAGCTGGCATACTTCCTACGTATGATTCTGTGCGTGATGGACGCCGTGAAACGGCGCCATGTCCAGCTTCGTCATCTGGAATTCGTGAAACAGGATGATGTCCACGGAGGTCATCTTCGTCATGCAGAACTCGCGAAGCGGTGCGTTGTTCACGAGGGTCAGGTTCGTCATGCGGAACTTGCGAAGCAGCGCGATGTACATATGGGTCAGCTCCGTCGTCCGGAAATCGTGGATCACCGCGACGTCCATGCGGGTCAGGTTCGTCATACCTTGCAGAGGGCGATCGATGCTGTGACCGTCTGTCATCATCCCTTGCAGAAGGTGATCGATGATGTGGCGGTCTGTCATCATCCCTTGAAGAAGGTGATCGATGATGTGGCGGTCTGTCATCATCCCTTGCAGAAGGTGATCGATGGCGCGGCCCTCTGTCATCATCCCTTGCAGAAGGTGATCGATGGCGTGGCCTTCTGTCATCATCTCTTGCAGAAGGTGATCGATGGTGTGATCTTTCGTCGCGTTCCATCACTGAAGGTGTTCGATGGCGTGGCGGTCTGTCATCGTCCCTTGCAGAAGGTGATCGATGGCGTGATCCTTCGTCGTGTTCCATCACTGAAGGTGTTCGACGGTGCGGCGATACATAGTCGTCCCTTACAGAATGTGGATGTGAGGAATGTACGGTTGGAATATATACATCGGGGGCATGACGCAGTTCCTGTTGAAGTTGACTAATGGGGCTCATCGGATGTCGTTCTAGAAGGATTGTCAGAGTGAGTCCATGCCCACAGTAACCCACGCACCTGATGAGAACGGGCGAGGTGCTGCCGGAGTTATTATTACTGGTCGGCCGGGGTGTGATTCAAGGTGTGTTTGCTCTGGATCAATTCTGATGACAGTTGGTGACCGCGGAGGATCAGGGATGCTATGAGTATGTGTATGATGACCATGAGTAGGTGTACGATGACCAGGAGTAGGTGTGCGGTGGCTAGGAGTAGGTGTGCGATGGACATGACTAGGTGCATCCGCTTCTGTAACTTGAGTGGGGGTTCTGTGAGTCCGCGAGCGATCGCCCTCGTCATAACTAGGACGTCTACTGTGGAGATCTTCGTCACTCGACCGTCCGCGACGAGGGGTGCGATCGTCTCTGCTGCGTCGCTCTCTTTCTGCTGAACGTGTGGGAGAGGCTGAATCAGCGTGTCCGTGACGGCGGCGGTCATCACCTCTATGTCTCTCGCCTCGTCGTGGTGATGGCGATCGCGAGTAATCATCACGCGGTCCTCTCCGTCGACGGTGACCCTCGGGAGAGTAGTCATCATAATAACGACGGTAGCGATGTTCAGGTGAGTAGCCTCGACGGTCATCCCAACGTCTTGGGTAATAATCAGGAGAGTCAGGATGTCGACCTCGTCGGTAATAAGGATCATCGTATGTATATCTGTCACGGTAACGTCCACGAGGTGAACGAGACCGAGATCGTGAACGCGAAACGTATCCCCGGCTAGCAGGTACCGTGACCACCACTGGCCCGCCAGGGCCGCCACCCGAAGGAGTAACAACAAATTCTTGGCGAGTGGGAGGTCTGGCGACATGTTCGCCAGCCGGCGATGATAATATGACAGGGCCAGGTGAATGGTGAGGAGGGCTTCGTTGTATAACCACTTCGCCTCTCCTGGAACCAGACCTAGACCTGGACCTGGACCTCTCAGGCCTGGGCTGCTCGAACATTGGTTGGGGAGGGTGGATTATCACGGGTCCGGAATCAGGCCCTGCAATCACGGGTGGCGGTGGTATCCCAACGGGTCCATATGGTTGCATTGGTGCCGGTTCATATTGTGGCATTGGCGCAGGCTGCTGATCTGCCATATCTACTTGGGGGACTGGAGCCGATTGTGAAGGCATATTGATATTGATAGTCTGAGGCGTAGGGCTTCCATGGCTGTGCGTATGCTCCTCGGAATGTGTAACGTCAGGGATATCTTGTCGATAACCTGGCGCCATGGGTAACATTGGACTTTCTGGAGGGTGCTGTACATGGTGTGAGTCGGGATGAGTGTAGGTCTGTTGAGTAGCCGTGCTATCGTCACTCTCTTCATCATCACTTTGTTGAACGATGATCGTAGGTGCTGGCACGAATACAGGTTCGCTAGACCCAGGACTCGTGGGAATAACTCCTTCTTCTTCATCGTCAAGGCGGTGCTCGTACTGATCACGAGGTTGTCGTTGGGGATAACCACCGTAAGTGTCAGGGATTACTGGTCCTCGCGCATCTGGAGGGTAATGATGAGGTTCTGGCATGCCCGGCCCCTGCCTGCCCCATGGAGGTTCATCGGGTATGAAAGGAGTATATTCGTGTGGCTGAGGAGAACCTTCATAGGTGGGAACAACAGGAGGCTCTGTGACTCCCTGAGGAACGAATCCAAGAGGTCCGAGACCAATAATAGGTGGAGGGGGTATAGGTCCTCCAGGGATCACTCCATGACCTGGGATCACTCCATGACCTGGGTGCACACTTGGTGGTTGCACACCGGGCTGTATCCCCAATCCTAGTCGTGCAAGATCATTTCTTAGTTCATCAACACGAGCAGTCACCCCTCGTAATTCTGCTTGACGGTCCTGTACATCCCTTTCAAGCCACTCATTCAGACCTCTCATGTACCTCATCAATTCTCGTTGTTGATCCACGGTCGCAAGTTGGGCAAGACGATGTTCCTAACCCAAAGAAATTAGCATGTCGGCAGGACATTAATAGTGTAACTTGCCCGAAGGATGTTCATTAATGTGTCAAAGAGTGGCAACTGCACTACAGTCTAGGAGAGAGAAATCAGAACCTCAGAAATCATACCGCAAGAATTACTTACTGGTCCCGGAGGCATTGGCACATATTGGCGACCACTTTGTTGACCAGGAATAACAGGCGGAGGAGGCACGCCCTGCAGAATTACGAAAGTTACATCTTGAAATCAAATCCGTTAAATGACGTACCAAGCCCTCTGGTCTAGGGTAGTACCAGGTTTGAGGCTCGCGAACATCGTCATTGGGTTCAAGGTTAGCAGGCGCGCTTGGAGGTCTTCCCTGCAAGTTGATCTAAGCGAAAGGTCGATAGTCTATTTGATCCACTCAACGGTAGTACTCACAGGTGCGGGAGGAGGAAGATTAGTAGACGGACGTATACGTGCGGGATCGGAAAAATCTCCAGGTGGTGGTACCATTGGCCCAATGTGTTGCTGAGTACGTGGCCCAGGTGGATCAGAAAATGCAACCTCGGTCTCAGTTGCGGCTGGGTGGCGCGGTCCTCGTCGAGTACGACGGAGTATAGGTGGGTGTTGGATCTCAGGTGAGAACACCACTGGCTCAGTGGCAATCGGGAACGTCGCAGGCCGGTGTATGGGACTGGTACTCCTTGACCTTGGAGGACGTACCGCAGGTTGGTAAGCGAAGGGGATTAATGCTGGAGGCGGTTGGACGCCTATAGGCACTTGAGGCGGGGGTGCCTGCAATAATGCAAGTAACTCATCGTCAAGATTTCCACGAGCTCTGCGTGGCTGGGGTGCAGCAAGAGGCACGCGGTCCCTCAGGAGCCGCGTCCAGTCCTGCCAGCGCTGCTGAAAATCCTCTGCGTCTACATCTGTGGTGACATCAGAAATAGACTCTGATGGGGGCTGGATGTGGACCGGTCTTTCAGTCTCGACCTGTCTATCGATGAGTTGACGCAAAAGAACCTCGATGGCCTGAAACCGGTCATTGAACTCTGTGGTGTCCAGGGGACCTGAGCGTGTCTCGCGCAACTCGTCCAGCATATGGTTTGTTGATACCTGGCCCTCCCAAAGTGCAGTCGTCTGCTCTCTCAGTGAGGTCAGCATGTCTCTCAGCGTCTCAATCGTAATGCTATCGCGCTGCCGTACAGTGGTGACCGACGCCGTTGAAGGTGTGGGTGACGACGGTGGAGGTGTGGGTGACGATGGTGGAGGTGTAGGTGACGACGGTGGAGGTGTAGGTGATGATGAAGACGTCGCCGACAAGCTGGGACCAGGAGATGGCTCGCTGGAAGAAATTTCAGATGGCGAGATCGAGGACGAAGATGAGGATGACGAGGAGGGCCAAGATGGCTCCCTAGAGATCGAATATGAGCGTTCCACGGTCTCCGCTTCCAATTCCGTTTCCAACAGACTCAAGTCGTCATCCGAGTGATGCGAAGACAAGAACGACGGCACTGAATTGAGCGAACTCGGGGAGGAGGGGTGCATAGGGGGTGGGGACATCTCGACAAGGGTGATACCCGGCCTCGGGCGTGGTCCTCTTGGCGTCGAGAGCACACTGCTGCCTCCGACAGATGTGTCTCTAGTTGGCACAGGGGGTGGCCTCTCCGCGACGAGCCTCGTACGAACGTACTCCGATAAATCATACAGTTCGTCTCGGATAGCACGCACATTCTCTGAGATTTCCTGGGTTTCCTGGCCACGGAACTGGTCAAGCTCTTGGATATGATGAAGAAGACGGTCAATATCGTGCGTGATAGTGTGTTCAGTGTGCGTGCGCGTGTGCTCCGTCTCGAGGACAGAATGGATGGAAGGAACATTATCGTGCGGTGTTGTCATACTCACACTCATCGACACCGAAGTAGGGGCAGGGGACACTGGGAGAGGCACGGTCCGCGGGGACGGCATTGGCATCTACAGCAAATCACATCAGCATTCCAACTAAAACGCGATAAAGAACTACCCACATATCGCACCGACTCTTCTCTTCTCGTCGACAGTAAGGACGGTACTGTCGAAATGTCACTAGCAGCTGTTACGCTCACTGCATCTTCCTCCTCCGCCTCAATCGCAATACTCGACACACCACTCACGCTGGATGCGGTCCTTGACAGTGAACTCGATGCGCTCGTCGACATCGTCAAAGGAGTCGGTCCACTGGATGGCGAAGATACCAATTCAAGTGGGTGGAATATCTGTCTAGGAGATGGTGTGAGGGAAGAAATAGTCTCCGTGATAGGCGTTAGCCTCGCAATACTGCTCAGCGGCGATACACTCGGGCGCATAAATGATGTCTCAAAGCTCCCATCGATACCCTCCTGCAATGCGGCGCTCTGTATACTAGGGGTGGGCTGCAGTGCAGACGAATCAAACGACACGTCCGTCTCAGAAGGCCATTGAGATGGGTGCACAGATGGCGTGACTGCCTCTTCGTCATGGTCAGATATCGAGAGAACTGGAGTCTGGACTGTCCGAGGTGTCGCGATGACAAAGGGCTCGGTTGACTCTGTCAAACTCGAGACAGATGTGTCAAGTTCTGGCTGTGCGGGACTCAGATCACTCTCGGTGTAAGAAAATGACGAGTCGGTATGGAAACTGACGACGGGGGTCGGTGTCTCGGGCGCCCGAGCGGTGGGTGGGGCGCTCTCCAGCAGGCTGTCCTCCTCCGCGAACTCTTCCTGTGCAGTGACAGCCTCAGGCGTGATCGACACCTCCAGCATTGGTTCCTCAGATATGATACTGGGAACTTCGCTCGGTGCCCTCGGCGGGGGTGTGGGCGATAGATCCACTTCCACTTCCTCTTCCTCATGCAAGTCAATGGGCACGTCGATGGGCATGTCGATGGGTACGTCGATGGGCACGTCAACGGCCACGTCAATGGGCACGTCAGCGGGTAGGTCAATGGGTACGTCAACGGGCAGGTCAATGGGTACGTCAGCGGGCAGGTCAATGGGCAGGTCAATGGGTGCTCCAATGGGCAGGTCAATAGGCGCTTCGATGGGCACGTCGATGGGCGTTTCAATAGGCAGGTTAATAGGCACTTCGATGGATGCTTCAACGGGTGCTTCAATGGGCTCGTCCATGAGCTCGTCCACAGGCAGGTCAATGGCCGCTTCAATGGCCGCTTCAACGAGTTCGTCAATGGGCTCGTCAATTAGTTCCTCAGCAGAAAGCTCCATAACCAACCCCGACCTCGGCGTGCTCAACCCCTCCTCGCTCGGAATCGTAAGACATACGCTCGCCGTCTCATACTGTGTCTCCTCCTTGTCGCTCTTGCACACTTCCGCTGTCCAGAAATCCGTTTCGGTCTCGGTCTTGCACTTCTCTGCTGTCACATACTCTGTCTCCACGTCACTTAAGCACCGCTCTGCAGTTACGAACTCCGTGCTCACGCAAGTCTTGCACGTGTCCAATGTCTGGTAGTCTGACTCGCTTGGGATCGTTGGAAGGCTCTTGAATGATGCAGTGCTCGGGCTGGGCGACGCATGGGCTGTGGTGTACCCCTCACTCCCACTACTCTCCCTCTCCTCCACGGCTAAGAATCCCTCCGTTGTCGTTGTGGGCGTCCTACTCCTCGTCCACCCGCTCAGTGTCGACCTTGTCGTTGCAGAATACTCCCTATCAGATGGGTCCTCGCTCGTAGAGTATGCACCATACCGCCGTCTCCGAACCTCAGGGGTACGAGATAAGGATGGCGAGGTAGAGGTGGGGGGGTAACTGCCACTCGTGTACGTGTAGGGCGTGCTGCTTGTGTATCCGCTGGACGAGTAAGAGTACGGCGTTCTCGACCGGCTATCACTTGACGAGAATGGTGTTCGCGAACGCCCATCGCTGTATGTATATGGCGTATAGCTCCCACTGCCGTCATGCGAGTCCCCCAGGTAAGAATTACTCTCCGTGCGTCTGTAGCTTAGCGTGCTCGGCACGATCTGCGTGTTTGACTCGCCACTCGTGAACTCAAATGCTGTCCCGTCTGTCACTAGCCCTGTCGTTGTCCGGCCATCGCCACTCCTGCTTGTCCTGGAGCTGTCTGCTGAGAAAAAGTCTGATTCGGAACGAGAGCCTGGCACGCTGGATGTGCGTGAGCCGGCACTGAAGAATTCCTCCTCACTGACACTGAGAGCTCGGTTCCTTATTTTCCCAGTGGGAGGTGGGGTGACACGAACATCGCCCCCCAATCTTGGGCCACTACTGACTGTCACAGGGCTTCCCCCACCCACGCCCAGTATTCCACCACTCTCTGAACTCAAACTTTCGTTGACCAAGCTCAAGCCAAAGCCTAGACCAGGTTTGGCAGAACGAGCACGCGACACAGCACTAGCAAACTCCTCGTCCAGGTCTGTGAGAGATGACGTGCGGCGCAAGGATGAAGATCGGGATGGGGCGATGACACGCGGGTCAGAGGGGTAAAGATACGACGAATCATCCGTAGTGCGCCCATGGCCGCCCACGCTGGGCACCCTACTGGTACTCAGACTCAACCCTCCGGAAGCACTCCCCAAATCTGACAGGCTCGGGATCGTATGCAGCGGAGGTACAAAGACAGTACTCCTGCTCCCAGCAGACGTGGATGTGGAAGAGGCTATGGAGTGAATAGTGCCTATGCTGCCTGTGGGCGAACCAGATTGGGAGCGATTGGGGAGAGACAAGGAACGGTCAAGTGCTTCCCTGTGTACATATTACCATGTAGGTTAAGTAGACACTCGTCAGAATGATCGAAATTTAAGTATGACACGAATCACTCACCAAATCGCACTCACCCACCTCACCCTTTCCCTCGCACTCTCTGCCGCAAGTCGCTCAACGCCATCACCATACAACAACTGGAACGGACACAATACTTCCACAAGACTCACGCCATCCTCGGTCATCTGAGGATATGTTTCATCTCAGCACTCTCCGTCCCGTCATCAACTCGCCAGTGCACGTACCTGAGCTACTGCACTCACTCCCCCGACATCACCCCTTGCTCCAGGGTGCGTAAAGCCAGGAGTACTCCTCACTTCTGTACAATTGATCAGATCTAAGCTTACTACGCCTCGACCACCCCCAGGGGCACTCCAAGAAAGGATAAGCACGTGAGGGTAGAGCAGTGCGGAACATTTTTGCCAACGGTAAGGCGTTGAAGAATGCACATTGAGATACCAGAGAGTACCAATGCGTATAGGCTGTGTATGGGGTCAGATGTGAACTTGAAACCAAAAATAGAATGAGGCACACCTCCCGGTTTTCTTTTCCCCCCAGATCTGTCATATCAAAAGGCGGGGGTATGAGGCTACTCGTGGAGCTCACTCTCCTCTTCATGAGATTGTTCCCACTGCTAGTGATTCCTTCGTTTTCCCTGTTTCTGTTACTGCCTCCTCCATTGCCCTTCCCACCATTCCTATCAGGCGTCACCGGCGGCTGTCCCCGCGGCCCATGACGCGATGCGCGTCTACGAAGAGAGAACAAGCCCTCCATCTACACCCCTTAGCACGTTTACACGCCAACTTGCAAATTATACACACCTTTGATGCACCAGGCGGAGATAGCTCGCTCCCGCCTTCACTGCTCTCACTTTTCACTTTCCCTAGCCCTGGTGTGCGTTCCTTCCATGCAGCTACAATATTTCGTACGCTCGTTAACGGGCTCCTGGGACTCGTGTTAGTGTCGTTCAGAGGAGCGGTGCTACGACGGAGGGTGGTCTGAGGCTGGCGTGTGGGTGTAGTATCATCTTGTCTACCTGGATCGAGAAAAGTGTCAACACGTAGTAAAGGAGTGAAGGTAAGGGCAGAAGAGGTAATGATACACGGACCTCTAGCAACCCCGAATGCACTCGAAAACGTACTTGCAAAATCGCTCGGGCTTAGCTGTGTCCTCCCTGTCGCTGTTGCTGTCCCACTACCACTATACGTCCCGGTTGGGGTGCTAAACCCGCGCACTGGTGGACTTAACAAAGTCGACAAGCTCAAATCAGTCCCACCTCCACCTGAAGAAGTCGAGACGGTGGAACGCGAATCGTCGGATCTGCTTTTAGCGGCAGAGGATAGGTGGGATGTGGTATAGCCGCCTGTTCCTGTAGTATATCCGTATCCAGTCGAAGTGAATCCCGTAGTATAGCCGTATCCAGTTGAGGTGTACCCCGTGGTACTCCCTAAATGAGGCGTACTCTGGGTTGTAGGTAAAAATGGGCTTGTGACTCTCTCCTTTTCTTTGCCAGGGGTACCTGCGCGGTCCTCGAAGAATGCAATAAGGTCGCCCGTGCGACGGCTAGTTGTGGGAATATCTGTGGCACCGCGTGTGTGCCCCTGGGAGTGCGTGCTGAGTCTGTTCGCATTTGCAGGGGGATCAATAGCTGATCGAACGTGCGGACTTGATATTGTGCTTAGGCGGTGTGCAGAAAGACGGTTCTGGGCAAAGGAAGTTGGTCGGCTGGGGTGCTCTGTGCGTTCTGAGATGGTACTCAGGACGCGAGGGTCACGTGTGAAATAAGTTCCTGTTGCCGTTGCAGTGTCCGCGGAGTACGAAGCGGAAGTGCCAGTGTAGGACCCTGTACCACTGTAGGGAGTAGACGTACTAAAGGACGTGTAGGATGGCCGGGAAGAGGACCATTGGGAGACAGCATCCTGGGTAGAATTAATCTCAGCGTCAAGGTCGAGTTCGGTGAGAACTGCTTCGACTTCAGCGCGTTCTGCGAAACTGTCGTCGTAACCGTGACCTTCAAAGCTGGTTTCAGAGCGAGGAGGACTGAATGCAACGCGTCGGAGGAGGCCTGGGGAGGCGGATGACTCTGTGGATGCGCGGTGGGTGTCTACGTGTAAATTTTTGGTGAATTCGATATTCATAAGAACAGCTAACATGCCACTGACCGGAATCAGAGTTGCTCGAGATAGACGAATACGTCGTTGTGCCATGATAACCTGGTGAGCGCGGGTCGAAGCTCGACATCGCCCGCGTCTGTTCTGTCAATTGTCAGTTCGCGATCGTCGTTGTTACTGTCAAATAGTCAATACAAGCCCATCAGGTATTTAGAAAGCACGATACGTCCTCAAGCTTCAACAATCGAATCGAACCAACATGAATTCAGGGCAGGCACAGTCGCGACCATGTTTGGTCACGTGCGTTAAATTTTACACGGTGACAATCATCAAAGCCCCAACAACTCGAGTAACTGTTTTCAAGTTGTGAGTCGATTCCCCATCACTGTCAAGCCCTTTATAGCGACTCGCGAGTCTTGGTACTCTTTTGTTATTTGCGCCGCATCGCACCAGTGCCATCAATAATATCTCTTCCAACGTCTCAGACTCGCAGCTTTATGATAACTGCTGTAGTATGAATAACGACTAGCAGAGGCAAAGCAGGGGAACGTATTTTACTCCCTTCATCTAGCCCGAGCGTTTTGCGTGCAAACATACAAAGAAGCTGCAGACAGGGGACTACTCCTGTGTCCATGGGGAACTACGAACGGCCAGTGTAGTTGTTCAGCGATCGTCGTATTGTATGTTGACCATTGGATTGGAGCCACGCCTACAAACCTCTTGGCGCTTGGGAAAGTGACGTTCTACGCTCCAAGAGAGATTTCGTTTAAATGACATATTCTTAGCTCGCAATGTCTGCAGTAACCATGTATACATGGCAGGGGTAGGCTTGCACGCAAGACATTAATCAGAATATTGACCATGTGACGTTACATTAGTATTGGTCGAGCTCACGTAGTATCCATCTATATATAGTTTTCCTCTGCGGTTGACAACATCCAAGGACACTCGAATTTGAATAAGCACAATCAGCGGAGACCCAACATAAGCAACTGTCATTGGACAAGTCCCACTAGTAACCGTCTGGTGGCAGTTATGTGCAACTCGTCATGATTCTATATGAAACGCTCCCTTATTGCCGCCTTGCCCATTCCACCGTATTGCTATCAGCTCACCCTGCACCACATGTGGCAGTTGTTACCGTGTATGCCTTTCCATCCGCGAAAGATTAAGCTGTTGAGTACCACCGTAACCTTGCAGGCTATCTCCACCATTGCAACACGCTGTCAGGCACCAGTCGAGCCATGTATTGCTTTGATATTTCTGCAGAGCCATATACACTGAGACAGTAAGTAGTCACAGGCCCTTTTTAATATGGGAATGCAAGCGCGAAAACTGCTGTAATTCAGGTCGATACGGCGTCAGGAAACTTGGTGTCACGCAACGGATTAGCAACATCCGGTAGACAGGTTTACCTAGCTCACCTGGTACACCATGATACCAGCGTTTGTAATTTTATACGGTGAGTCCCTGCTGACAAGCACATAAGATATGAACGCACTCCATCCTTGTTGAGCGGCGTCGCCCACACACTGGGCAAGTGAGGAGGGATCCATATAATCATTATTCGCATCTACATTTGTGGCTAGCTTGCCGATCACCAATTTGTCTAGAGGTATTCCTGTTGCTGCAATCTGGAAGAGCCCAGTATTTGGCTGCATTGGAGATGATACTGTAAGGAGGCCATAACACGTTGCGTACTCGGCTGTCCCCTCTGTCTAGCTGATCAATGACAAGCAAAAGCACAGGATGACATGGCTCACGATTGTAGAACTACGAAGAATCCGGAAAGCTATATTGGTATCATGAAACTATCCCTTGTCGAGGAATACTTGCCTGAATGTTGTACATGAGTGAGTTCACGATGAATTTACTTGGCTTTCTAACTTACCCAATCGATTAACGATCCAACATTCTGATGGACCGTCAAATAAGTACCACTGGTGTATCGTGCGGAAACCTGTACATAGGAAGATCAAATTGGTCTGCACGAATAAGACAAGTTCCAAATTACGATGGAGCAACAGCCGATACAGGTCAAGAAGCGAGTCGAATCCAATCACTGAATTTCGAGACAGACTCACGTGCGTGGGTTAAAATGTATTGACCCACGGATGCGATCAGTGCGTTCTCTTGACCCACGATGCTAATAGTAAACATACCTTGCAGAAGTCTTGCACGAAGGGGCTATTGTGAAAGTGGTCAACCAAATTTCTGCTGATCCATTCTCGGCATCCATGGCGTATATATCCTGTTGCAAATCCAGCGTTCAGATGTAAACTGATTCGTATCAAAAGAGACCTACTTCATAATCGACGTTGACACCGTCGAGATCATATTCCAATCCATAGTCCGGTAGACTATTAGCGAGAATCGTAGGGTCATACCCGTCGGTCGTAGGGACATCCGTGGAGCCGAAAGCGGATACGATAAGAGAAATTCCTGCATTCTAGTATGATGCCTTGATAGATGCTCGTGTGGTATCATCAAGCAATGTCCACTCTTCAGCTTGATCAGTTGGACCGGAGACAAGCCAGAACGAGAGGGCACTGAAGAAATGAGATTATGAAATACCCGTGTTTGTCCCCAAGGCTCACAAGACATTGTACCCCTGGTTCCCGATAACAAGAAAGCAATCAATACGTGCTAATGGATCATTGACGGATACATACTGAGATGATACTGACGTCCGGTGGACCAATCTCACCGGAGACCCACTTATCATTGTATAGGACGAAGTGGGGGGCTGCAGGCATTGCACGGGCCGAAATTGTCGTGTTCATAAAAGGTATAGACAACACCCTGCCTATGGCTGCGAAGACAGACGAGGCTCGAGAGCATGAATCACGGGAGGTGGTGATAAATCAGCCATCGGTAGGGATTTATATCTTACGCTACAACGAGGCTTGGTGTATCATGATGTGATCTCAATGACAACACAGGACGGATCTGATCGAAATCAGCAGACACATATTTCTGTTGTCAAGAAGGATCAATACCATGCTCTTCCGAGAGATCCCCTGTATATGCCAGGACGAGTGGCATGCAAAGCAATAAATAAAATACTCAGGGATTGAAGAATCGTTGGCTGTGATTTTGCAAAAATAAAATATCTAATTAGTGAAATCAACACTTGATCAAAGAAACCTTAAACTTAAGGTTGTAGACTCACGGCAATTCTGTACCTATCAGTGTGGAAATGGACAGCGAAAGAGCTCGGAAGGGCAAGATATCGAATAGTACTGCCAGCTGGCAGCTGTACTTATCTCGATCCCGAAAAGACTGGTGGGTGACAAAGGCGAAAAAAGTGTGAGGTAGGCTTTCAAGCCAATCAGATGGATACAGTCCGTTGCACACGGACGGACACTCAGCTAGATCTAGGTGCACGTAACCGGTGTCGAGCTATCCTCTGCTGGTAGTATGCAGCGCTTGTATTTGCACAGACTGAACAATATATGGTCTTCCCTAGTCGGGCCATATAGTGGGAAGACAATCGTTTCTCCTTGATGGTAGTCTGCTTTCATTGGCACCTTCGATAACACACACTTGTCAGCTAGTCTCATATCCAGATTTGTGGGCGAATTCAAAAATGGCAGGAGATGCCAAAACGGACCAGGCATAAAGAAAAGACACGGGAACTTGTTCCATTTAGTACATCTATGATCTGACAGACGTCGACATAATCAACTAGTGGGACTCATGACAGTGACTTCTTCACCTACCAGTACTCGACTACGTGCCTAGGGACATATGGTCCGTCAGCGATGAGCATCAGATTTTGGGACCGGGCAATGCCCTTTCGAGTTGAACGGTGTAATCTGTTTCTGGAAGGGGCCAATCACGAACCAATTCGTCTTCTTCTAGAGCTCTCCAATTAGGTGATGGAGTGGCGCGAATGTGCGAGAAGTCCTGGGGCAAGAAAGGGAGCTCGGTATGGTCTCCGATGATCAGATGTTGCTGATCACTGGTTGTCTGTGGTGATATGGTCATTTTTAGGCGATTCAATAGATGAAATAGGGAAAAGATTGGACCTTCAACTCGCTCGGGTATGGACCAAATCTCACTTGATCACAACTTTCGATTATTGGATTCGATGTAATGTCAAGATAGGCATCGACAGCGGTAGAATTGTGCATCCTGAACTGCCAGTCATGAGCACAGTATATCGTAACATACAGGGTCAATATAACCTTACCTGGTGACATCCAGCAACAACCACGCAATTTGTTAAGTTGTGTAACATGATGCTACCATCGACACTCCCTAGAATGAGAATTGAATTCTGTATGTCGCGGATGTGAAGCGCCGAAAGGGAAACGGTATTAGCAGACAGAGTTGACTCATTCGTGGTCGTAAAAAGATTTAGAACGCTGTTCGATACTCTTGTTATAGACACCTCTATGTGATTTGTGGATGAACTGGGGTCAGAAAGGCACGATCTAGAAAGGTAGGAATTGGAGTGGTTGGATATCGTTCTGGAAGCACTAGATATTGGTGTTGTAGGTATCGCTAGTGCATTCGTTTGAGCAGGTGGCGTGGCGGTCTCTGCTGATGCTGGAGCTGGTATTTTGACCTTCCGTTTGAAAGCGAATTTTGTTTTCCCTGCGGTTGATGAACGCAGTTCCTCAAGCGACTTCTCTAATGCTTTAAGTTGCTGTCCAGTTTGGTTAGCTCAGACATCAAAATCAGACGAAGGGCACACACTAGTTCATTTTGTCTTTGATCATAGCTTGGAAGTCTCCCGGTAGCTTCAGTCAAACGCTTGTTGAGAGCTTGTATTTCTCCGGCAATTGAATGCACAGAATCTGCATTCGCAACTTTGAGACGGGAGGCAAGTTCTACGGACTATAGTAGCGTCGGTATTACCGGTGTAAAGGCGAAAGGCTTTACCAGAACAAGACGCTTGAAAGGAGGACGTGAATGCTTGAGCAAACGTCCAGATGGCCTCTGCGCCATCATCAGATGTCATGATGGTCAAATAGAACAGGATACTTAGTCGAGTGGTCGAAATGATGTGGCATGAAGTTTAGCTATCATATAGCTAGCCTAATTTAATCGTGATCATTGGAAGTTGAAGGATTCCGGGTTTTGCCAGTTACCACTTTACCATTATTGACACGTGCACGCTCCTTATGCACCAACGCACACATCTACTAACTTCACGTAGATATGCCTTCCCTCGCACCAACAGTGGTAACTGGCTTCTCGACTCAAAACTCTACACAACAACTACACAAAGACCTCGTATTCACTGATTCCGATTTAGTTCGAGTTTTTCAAAGCTCAAGGTTCTACGACTAGCACAGACCTAGAACTGCAGTTGATTGAGCAGCAATACAATATAGGAGACTTGCTGACTCCTATCCATATGTGCGCTCCTATTCAGCCACGTTGACCAGATCCTTTGGACCAAGCTGCAGCATTCCCTCTCAACGACTACACCACTGCATCCATCAAGTCAGTGTTCGCTTCCCTCAAGTCTCACTGGCCATCATCTCCTCTCCGCGTCGCGGTCTTCAACGCGGGCTACGGTGTCTGGAAGCTATTCCTTGATATCACGGAAGACGAAGTCCGTGAGTCGATCGACACCAACGTTTTAGCGGCTTTTGCCTTTGCACGCGAGGCCCTCCTTGAGTTCACAAAGCTCGAGTTTGAGACCGCGAACGAGGGAGGAGTTGCTGGCAATGCTCGTAAAAGGGGCACCCTTATTTTCACCGGCGCAACGGCTTCTATCCGAGGCAACACCCTGACGTCTGCGATTTCTGCGAGCAAATTTGAGATAAGGGCTTTGTCGCAGAGCTTAGCTAAAGATTTCGCCAAGCAGAACATACATGTAGGTGTCTTCTGCGTCGTCTTGGGATTGTTTGTGGACTGATAGCTTTGCTTTTAGGTTGCTCATGTGAGTCCCTACCTTCTGGTACTAAGAATATTTATGAACGTTCAAACGCGCTTCTCAGAGCATTATCGACGGTAGTAAGCATAGTGTCAGCATCTACAAAGTATCGTCTAATCAGGAACAGCCATCATCACTGACCGCACCAAATCTCGTCACTTCGGCATTGTTAATCAGGATGTTCGACTTGATCTTGATTCTATCGCAAAGGTTGGAGCATTCTTGTAGCAATACGCGCCTAAACTCATCACACCCCTTAGCCCTACTTGCACCTCGTCGAGCAAGATAGTTCAGCCTGGACTTGCGAAATTGACCATAAGCGTGGTTCCGAATTGCTACCCTGTCTTCACTCTCTTCCAAACAGTGCGTCCTGCTCACGAAAAGTGATGAGCAACTCGAGCAGCTAGTTTTGATCTGGAGTCAAAGCGCAATCAGAAATCATTGGATTTGTGAGTCTTGGATGTAATTATGTTGTTGGTGTATAAATGCGCCTTTTTCTACTTGTCACATCCTGTTATCCTTTTGCTTCTCGAAACCATCTTTTACCCGCGGTAAAATGCATCGTAACAATCAGAAAGTGAGTCTCCATCTTTACCTACAGCAAAAATTTACCGTCTGCGATCGATTGATCACGCGCATGCCAGCGTGCTTTGAGACAAGACATGCATCATATGCAGCTTGCGAGTGTGGTTACCGCGCTGGAACGTGGTTTTGAAGTCATCAATTATCAGCAACAGAAAGGAAAGCTGTACGCGGAGTGTAGGCAAGGGGTGGATAATATCTTTCAAAAGTCCCTGGACAATGGACATCATACGACCTTGCAAGATGAAATATTTCCTCAGGGTGATTAACCTGCAGGTCTGAGCTACGTAGTAAATTTGCGAGTCGGAGATGTCACTCGCTTACGAATTTGTACTGAGTCGCCTCGTTCTTTTCGAATTCGGGACCCGTGGTTTTTCTATGCATCAACCACAGATAATCACTTTCACTGAAATAGGCTAGATTCCATGACTGTATGCCAATCGGCAGAAACGGTACTTATCCGACATTAGACTCGTGACCGACTTGTCCGTGGTTATATAAGCCAGGCTGGTCCCGAGCCTAATCCGACATGCCTCATGATGTTGGCTTCTGAAGCTTCCTATCCAAGGCGGTGTGCAGTTACTATACGCATCAATGCTGTGTAACCTTCACTATGTAAATAGTACTACACTTCACAGAACGCCCATCCCAAATCCCTCTGTTTCCTATTTCCCTTCAGGTTTGTGCTCGATACAATGTCCGACGACCTCCTGACTGTATTATGCACCTCCTGCTGTGGGTCAAACCGTCCTAATGGTCCATCCACTTTTGAACTTACACCAATAATTAGGTGTGATGGGGTGTTCACTTCAGCAATGGTTTGATACCCGTCAGTCTTCCTTGAACCATGTCGTTCTTATCGGTCACAACTTACAATGCATACTTTTGGCATACTTAGATGCATTAGGTGCTAATTGCCGATGTTGTAGTGGCCCACGTGGATGCTGTAATAGTTGTTTTGAGTCGTTCTCGAACGAGGACAATTTTGATGAACAACTCAAGAAAGACACGGAACGCAGAGAAGCTGCTGCTCAACGACTTTTTGATGCTCAACCTGCGCCCACTCAAGACATGAACTGTGAAAGCTCCACAGACAAGCCAGTCCCGTTGAAATAAGTGCAAGGTCATGCTGTTTCTAATCTTCTGCACATATCCGAAATTGATACTGAACCTCAGGCCTCGAATCTGTTTCATTGTACCACGAGAACTCGTATGCATCAATAGTATAGCCTTAGGAAGAGATAGCCATAAATTTGCGAACTAACTTGAAATTTGGGAAATTCCCCCCATCCTCGATATGATAATGACTTGTGTTTCACCTACGGGGTCATTCATCTCAGCCACTTAGCGGGATAAATCAAAGCTATGTACTCACAGAAACTCTAGCTAATGGACAGTCTGGCCTAGCACAAGTCTGTTAGACTCCGGGGGTATTTTCAAGTTGTCTGGGTTTTGGGCGACCGTTCGGCTCAATTCGGTCGGAGTTTATTCATAGCTGACACATCGCGCCTGGCTTCGTGAGGGCTGACATGACAGGGGCTAGCGCTGATACATAAAAGAGACGAGTGGGCACGAAAGACATTCGGGGGCGAGAGGGGTGCGCAGGAGCTCGAGGAACGTTGTCTGTCTGTGCACAACCGTAGCTGACGTCGACGCGATGGAACTCCGAACAAATCGAGCCGGACGCTAGACTCGGACCCCCGGAGTCTGACAGACTTAGCCCCCACTAGACTGTCTGTTTCCCGGTTCTTTGTACTTAGAAGTACTAGCGGCAGCGGAATAACAACGTAATATATATATGTATACGCGGGCACTAGGTTGCGCTTAATTTCATCTGTTGGCGCTTTGTCCATTGCTTTACATTTCTCGGTCATGCTAGTAGACGCAGGATGTCTGGGTTATCTGTGTGGAGAATGCTGTATGCAAGATGTACTCCACCAATTTGAATCCATTGACCAAAACATTCACATAGGCATCATACTGCCAACAACTGCTAAAGGAACTCGGTGCAATATAAGTTCGTCAACTCATTACTTGAACAGATGCGTTTGGCGCTGACGCCAAATGTTACGTTCCGCAAGGATGTTGCCGGGAATCTTTTGATGAAGATCATTTCGATGAGCAAATGAAAAGGGAGATGGAGCGGACGAAAGAGACCAGCCAGCCGCTTATCGAAACCCAGCCCGGGCCATCTGATATGACCGCAGGGTTGAAGGAGGATGCAAGAGCCTGAGAGGGTCCTGAGTCCCTGACAATGCTTCACCAGCGCCGCAATAATCAGGACCGCAACATGGGCTCGGAAAGTGTAAGCAATGATGCTTCTGTTGTGAGTAAGATACAGGCACACTGATCGATTTAACAGCTCGCGGGTGTGTTTGAAGCTCTTGTACGTGTTGAACCTAGTAGGAGGTGCGGTAACTTGTCAGTCTCATGACAGTAAGGTGTCCAGTTTGCCGAACAGAATTTGCATTGCTGAATGTATGAACTGACCGACATGAACCTATAGTCACGGCATCATAATAGTGAGAACCCGCTGAATTTGAGACGCTACCATAATATGTGAAAAGAGTCGCGTTCAAGCCGGAAGCAAAACAGTCACATGTCGGAACTCGGAAGACCTGCTGCCACTTCAAGCTGCGAGTCTGCGTCATCTACCGTGTTGGACCCTACACACCTTTACTTGACCAACTGTCCCCACTTGAACCTCACGGTTCTCAGAGCGCAGATAATCTACGCGTATCTCCAAGCTATATATTGCGTTACGACCAACCTTACAATCATCATTCAACTTCTCATTGGAAATACTGGGTCCGTCAAGTCACATTGAACGTTCGGAACTTCGGATACGTCCACAGGATACAGCTGTACGAATTATTCGGGCATCTAATTTGCAAATATAATATCAAAGCATACGAATCAAGCCTTGACACTGTTTTGCAGCCCCTGCAGTCGGGACAGTTGCTGTATTCCCAACCCACTTAATATTGATCGAGAGGCTTAGGCGTAGAGATGGGGAACGTGCAGTCAGGCTCCACACTTACACGGACAAGTGGAGCATTAGATTCATTTGTCACAGAATTAGGAGGGGACATCGTTTATGACAAGGGGTGAGTCGTCGTCCTATACGCCCCTCACATGCGCGTCCACTCTTGCTCATTTCTGCAGACTCAATCAGGCGCGTTTCCTCAAGACGGTCAAATGTAAACACAGAAATGGATACCTTGTTGTCAAGATATTCATCAAACAAGATCCTGGAGTCAGTCTCAGGACCTACCAAAGAAAGCTGAAGAGTATGTAGTTTCAAGGCACGATGTGTAACCTGCTGAATTCGAGCAGCGGACAGGGAAGCTCTACTAGACATCCCAAATATCTACACCTATCAAACATTCCTTGAGACAGAGAAAGCGGGATATCTCGTTCGTCAATGGACTGCAAGTAATTTGTATGATCGTATAAGGTGCGACCCGAGACGCATGTCTTGGATGTTGTACTCATTTAAGCAGTACTCGCCCATTTCTCTCTCTCATTGAGAAAAAGTGGATCACTTACCAGCTTCTCACCGCACTCTCACAAGCACACCTGCAGAAAACGCCGCACGGAGACATCAAGTCCACAAACATCTTGGTTACGTCGTCAAATTGGATCTACGTGACCGACTTTGCTGGATCTTTGAAACCTACGCGACTCCCTCTAGATGATCCTTCGGATTTCTCGTTCTTCTTTGATACCAGTGGACGGCGGATTTGCTATGTTGCCCCAGAACGATTCTATAAAGTGGAGAAGGAGACAAGGAAAACGTGGGCAAATGAGGAAGGCGAACTAAAGGAGCCCATGGTGACTGAGGCGATGGATGTCTTTAGTCTGGGCTGTGTTATCGCGGAAGTGTTTCTTGAGGGCGCATCTCTTTTCTCGCTCAGCCAGCTGTTCAAGTACCGTGAGGGGGAATACAGTGTGGAAGCTCAGCTTCTAGCAATAGCTGATGAAGGTATACGAGTGAGTAACGACCAGTGCCAGATTCCTTTGAAAGCCTAACTGTCCTCTACGATCTAGTCGATGATCAGACAGATGATTGCATTAGATCCCACTGCGAGACCTACCTTTCATATGCTCCTAGCGGGTGCACGGGGGACCGTCTTGCCTGAATGTTTTTACTCTTTCTTGCACGAGTATGTGGCTTCAGTTGGCGAGCGTCCTTCTTCCCTCCCTTTTCCCTCCTCATCTTTCTCTGTGTCAAATGCTCCTCCCTCCACCTATTTTCCAGCAGCCACTTCAAATACAACGATCAAAGTACCAAGTAAGGAGACAGTGGCAACAGCTGCTGGCGCAACCGGGAATGGCAGTGTGCTTCCCGGTGATAGCGACCACAGATTGGAGCGACTTTGGGAGGAATATGAGAATGTGGACCCATACCTCGATGACACAGACGTCGAGAAGACTGTGATGGATGTCAAAGTTGAGTTCGGTAACAATGTTGCTGGACCATCCAAACCTTTCCAGGTACCTTTTGCATTTATCGCAGGGCGAGCTGAAATTTATCCGTCGACTTACATTACTTGTAGGATGTCTTTCCCGTCTCCATGCACATTCCATCTCATCCCTCGAATCGGCATTCAACTCCTGCTGAAGATGGTCCCGCACTCATACTTCTCTCCCTCGTTTTAGCTAACATCCGCAACTGCCTTCTCCCTTCGTCTCGCCTCCGTGCTTTAGATATATTACTCGCTCTATCGACTCGGCTGACTGATGAGGCCAAGCTTGATCGAGCCGTGCCATATATCGTAGAGCTATTGCGTGACGAGGCTGCAGTAGTCAGGGCAGCAGCAGTCAGGACGCTGGTTCAGATTGTGCGTGCCCTTTATTTCTTCAACTACGTTGTATTCACAAGTAAACGCGTTGCAGCTGACTCAAGTAAATGTCATTACTCCCTCGAATGCATCAATAGTACCAGAGTATATCATTCCGAATGTGCGTTATCTTGTGCAAGATCCAGAGGTGTCGGTCCGGGCAATGTATGCGCAGTGCATTGCTCCCCTAGCTCAGACTGCCGACCGCTATCTCGAGATGGGGCAAGCCCTTAAGGCACATGGTGTTTCTCCTGGGATCAATGGTGACAGACAAGAATACGAGGAAATGCACTTCGAGGCAAGCCATATGAACACTCTTTGCTTTTCCACTTATCTAAGTCTTGTTGATAGGTATCGTACGATGTCATGAAACAAGACCTCCTCCTCTCCATCCAGGAACAGTTGTCGACGCTTCTCATGGATCCTTCTCCCATTGTTAAGAGAGCGGTGCTGCATAATATCAATGCACTTTGCGTCTTTCTTGGCAGTCAAAGAACGAACGATGTCGTCTTGAGTCATATGATCACGTACTTGAACGACCGAGACTGGCACCTCCGTCACGCGTTTTTTGAGAGCATTGTCGATGTCGCGGCGTGTGCTGGAGGTAGGAGCCTAGATGAATATATTCTGCCGCTGATGGTACAGGCACTTTCTGGTGAATTTTACTGCACTCATGGTGTAATGTTTCTGATACCCCTGGTTTCAGATGTAGAAGAAACTGTAGTAGCACGGGTACTCGCCGCCCTCACTAGCCTCTGCGAGTTGGGTCTATTCCAGAAGATGCGCATTTGGGAGCTGATGAGTGCTGCTCTCCCGTTTTTCTACCACCCCAATGTTTGGATACGGCAGGGTATGGGCTATAAATCCTTTTGATCCACAAGACGCTCACAGTTTGTGCAACTTCAGGTGCAGCCTCCTTTATTGCGGCTGCAGCGAGATGTCTACCTCAAAGTGACGTCTGGTGTATCCTATACCCTTCCTTGCGTCATCTGTTGCGTTCGGATGTGAAGGAGGTTGAAGAACAGAGTCTTTTGTCGGCAATGAAGTCACCGGTAAGCCGGATTTTCACAGAGCTGGATTCGCTACTTATGATTTAAAGTTGCCACGTCCTGTTTTTGATGGCGCTGTCCAATGGGCAATGAAAGCGGAGAAAACCTCCTTTTGGAGGGGACATCGTAGACCAGCATCCAAGGCGGAATCCCCGAGGGAAAGCATAGTTTCCATGAGAAAGGGGGGAAACACGGCTATTGGACGCAACAAGTCAGAAGAGTGAGTTTCTCGGTTTCAAGTCTCCGCGGGGCTAATATGTGCAAAAGGGACGAAGTGCAGTTGCTGAAACTGCAGAACCTTGGTATGACATCTGCTGATGAAGCGAAGCTCACGGCGATGCGGGATTACATCCTCAAGCTGGCTAATAATGCATCAAGGTTGGTTTTTCTTTTGAT